ATTCTGACTCCTTCAAGATATCCTACTGAGGTAGCTTTCCTTATCATACTAGAAAATCCTTCAGCACAGATTGCAAAAAGGAGAGACGATAGGGGATCTCCTTGTCTTAGTCCTCTTGAAGGTCTAATGAACTCTGATGGGGCGCCGTTAATAAGAATCGAATATGACACTGTAGTGACGCACTCTTTTACCCAAGATATGAATCTAGGATGTATAACAAGAATCCTCATCATTTCGAACAAGAAAGGCCACTCTATTCGATCGTAAGCTTTCTCCATATCTAGTTTCACTGCCATCCACCTTTTTTTCTTGGATTTTGAGGTTTTGAGATGATGAACCATTTCATGGCCGATTAGGATATTATCTGAGATTTGGCGCCCTTTGATGAACCCGTTCTGTGTTGGGGATATGATCTTGGGAAGCACTCTACTCAACCTATCTGCTAAGATTTTAGCTATGACTTTGTAGATCACTTGGCAAAGACTTATTGGTCTTAAGTTTTTCATGGTTCTTACATTGTTAACCTTGGGGACCAAAGATATCCAAGTACGGTTGAAGGATCTTAGTAAATGCCCAGAGTGGAAAAAAGCTTGAACTGCTTGAATCACATCTTGATTGATTAGCTCCCAATAGTTTTGGTAGAAACCTGCCGTAAATCCATCAGGGCCTGGGGCTTGAGTTTTGCCTATGCTGAACACCGCTTTTTTAATGTCTTCTTGGGAAATTGGAGCAATCAGACTTTCATTCTGGATCTCGTCCACTGTTTTTTCTACCGAGAGGTGAGATAGGTCAATCGTGGACATACACTGTGTTAGGAAAAGGTCTTTATAGTAGTCCACAGCAATGTTCAGTTTCTCATGTTCTGCAGTGCACCAAGACCCTTGTGCATTTTCCAGTCCCCATATTGTATTGGCTTGACGTTTGGCTGCGGTGACTATATGAAAATACCCGGTGTTTTTATCCCCACCTTGTAACCAATTAGTTCGGGATTTTTGCCTCCAAAAAATTTCTTCCCGATTATATTGAATACCCAATTCTTTTTCCAAAGATTTGACTAGGGCCCAGTTCACCGGAGAAATTGATCTAGTCACTTCTAGTGCACGATTTAGGTCATTTATTAACCTCGATGAGTTAGACGTTCCACCTTTAGACCAACCAACCAACACATGCCTAGTCCGTAGTAGCTTACTAAATAGGCAGTATTGAATTGAGCCTGCTACCTCTAGATTCCAAGCATAAGTGATAATTAGCTCGGCTTCCGGCATCTGAATCCACCTGATATCGAATCGAAATAGTCTTTTTGCTCTATGCATTGTAGGATTTGTTTGTAGGAAAACCAACCTATGGTCTAATCCTACATCCGTGAGGTGATATATAGTCGTCGAAGGCCAAATGCTCATCCATGTTGTAGAGAGGAAGACTCTATCTATTTTTTGCTCAATCGTAACTCCATTCCTTCCCCGGTTTGTCCAGGTAAATTTGGGGCCTTGGGAATTTGGTTCAAATAGCCTTGACAAACTATTCCGTTGTGGCTTAATAATCTCAAAGGATATAATACAGTCACAACCAAGGGCAATTTGGGTATGACAAAAAAAAATTATTAATTTTTTGTATTAATTACACATTGAGAATTAAAACCCATATTAATTATATTTCTTTTTAGAAAATTAAAACCCTACAAAAATAAATACATTTCTCTTTTTTCTTTTTTCCATCACCCACTCCACTCAGACCGACCGACATTCTTTAGTGAAATCTTCCTGATAGACTCCCTCCGGCCATCCAAAAAATGTATCACTCAGTTAAAAAATGTAGCTGATAATTGTCAAAAACATATTAAGTTATGTGCTTAATGTGATTATTTCATGATAGGTTGAGACATATATTGCTTGTTTTAAGGCCACCTGACTCCGGAATGGTTATATGATCATTACAACCATGTTTTAGAATGTTGATATATTTTAGGTGGAAATATAGAAATTGTGGAAGCACAAGCAGACAGACAAGCCGAACACAGATCAAGTCTATAACCAAATCAATGGAACCGGGTTCTTGACCTAGCCTAGTTAGAGTGCATTATTTTCCAATTTGGAGCGGGGGCTTTTGGAGGATTTATTGGGCTTGGCCAATTAGAAGAATGCCTGACATGGAGGCGAGATGAATTAAGGGACATAGGATAGGGTGAGTAACCACTTAGCAGCTGTTAATCTGGGGCAGACTCATCGTGTGGATGCGATTGATACAAGGATGATCAGTGGCATTTTTTTCATTTATTTGAATTAATTACTTTCCCTCTTTATCCGCTGCAAGTCTTTTGCGCGAGCTGAGATTGTGTTTTTGGAGAGAGAAAGTGCGAGTAGCAGTTTAAAAACAGGGGACCGAGCTATGGAGAATTTTTCTCTCCATAATTGTTCGACGACGAGAACTTAGGTGGATTACCAAAATCGACGGCAAGTTTATCTCTGGTTATATATTAGTTTTTCTGATTCTTCCTGTTCTGTCGTTAACTTTTAACCAGGCGTTATTCGTTGATCGTTCTGTCGATCTTTGGTTTCGTTGAGCGTTCTGTCGATCTTTGGTTTCGTTGTAGGTTTTTGTTGCGTGGTTGATGGCTGCTTGTTATTTGGGGGTTTCAATTTGGCGTTTTGCTGTCCTTCTAGTTTTACTCTTCCTTTGCCGATTGTACGGGTGGTCTGGTCCACCAAACATCTCGGGTCTTTTGTTGTTGTTTTTTACTTTTTTCTTTTTAGTTGTTGTGTGGCTTGAGATCAAATCTTGTGATATCCTTGCACCCTATGGTTTTTGTTCTTGAACCTTTTTTTGATTTTATTTAATTTCAATCACCATTATATAATGTCTCTCCTCTTTCCTAACCCCCAACTTCCATTTGGCTGGTATACATTCTAGTCTTCTGCGGAGCCTCTTGCAACAACAATTTGTCTCATCATCAGAATGGGCTCATGTCTACGCAGTCGTTGTGACCTGAAGATCGGTTGCACTCTTCAGTTCAACCATCCATGGCTCATTCTACTGCATGCAGCTACTCAGGATAACGGAGCATATGTCAACGATTAATACCATCAAGCTCGTCTCTCTAAGAATCTAATATAGGAGGGTCAAAGTCGATATATCACTATATGCTTCGTCTGTTTTCCCTTTCTTCCCCACAGCAATACTTCTTCCCCAAAACTCTCTTCCTTAACGTCATTAGAATAGTTTTTCGTTGTAGTTCTTGCAGGTATTTAGTGGGCACCCATTATCCCTTTGCTTCTCCTTCCTTGCGAAAAACCGCTCACAGTCAGGTGCTTTAACATATTCACTGAGGATTTTTCCAATTGCACTTGTGATGCATGTTAAGATCCGTATTGGAAAACAATCCCGCCGCTGCTGGTGGAGCTTTCAAACCACTGCTTTGGTTTGGTTAGACGCTTGTCGTCTCTATGTCTTTCCCTTGGTGGAACTTCTTCTGATTCATTTTTTACTAGTTCTAACCAATAGTGGCAGTTTCTATGCATTTTGTATTATCTTTCCTGAGTATCAGTTGCTTTCACCTGCTCTTGGCTTTTTTTTCTCGTCTATTTCAGCGTCCCCTGTTCTAGTCCAGTTCTGGGCATGGAATCCTTTATCCTTGTGGTTCTTTGTTGGCCGTTGTCTAGCTTTCCGTTGGTCTCTTTGCTCAGATTTCGTCCTTAGCCCGTAAGAATTTATGTTTGATTTTCCGGCCACGATCCTGGCAAGAGCGACAATTCCGCCCTACGTACACTAATTGAGGGCTTGATTGTCATCGGTTATTAAACCTGATTTGCCGTGTTTTGCCATTTAATCCTCCGTTGTACGTTTAGGTTTCAAATTTCATTTCATTGGGGTTAATTGGGGTCAACCCACCATTTATGTTAATTACAGATTTATTACTTACTGGATTGAAGGTGATGATGGAGGAGATTGCTCCTTTTTAGTTATTTCCCGTATTTTGGGCGTAACATTTGTGGTATTTATCTCATTTAATATTAATTGATGTTTAGGGTGACTAATTGGATGTTATTATTAATTTATATTTCCTTTAATCTCTTAAGGTTAATTAGATTCCCCTGGCTCTCCTGGTAGTAAATGGTAATTGTCGTTTCAGTTTTACCGATTAAGTAATTTTTGTTTCCTTTTTCTTTATGATTTTATTTAATTTGGTTCATTAGTGTTGTGTCTGTCTTAGTGTAGGGTTTTTAATTAGTGTTTGTTTTATCCATCTTCGTTTCCTTTTTCTTATCAGGTCTATCTAGGATTTATTTTATCTTATTTTGTTGTGCAATCGTTTTCCTTTATTCGAGTTGAGGACGCATTTATTAGTGTTTGTATGGTATATTTTTTTTATCAATTGTGGCTTTGTGTTATTAGTCGACTGTCTTTTTAGTCAAAGGATTGTGATAGTTTTCGTATTTTCTGCGATGTTGTATTTTATTAGTGGCTAATTGCCTTTGAGTTGTTTGACTATCTTAGTAGTCTTGTTTAGTGTTTTTTTATTTATAGTTTTGCCTTTTTCGTAATTGATTGTCAACTATTTTCCTCTTCTAACTTTTTATGTTGTTGTTTTCGTTAATTCTGAATATTGCTTATGATCTCACTTCTATCTCTAATGATAGAATATTGCATTTCCATGTATGTGCTTGTTATTTGTAATGTTTTGCAGGGAATCTTTCCTTCACTTTCGCATTTGGACGCGATCACAATGGTTTATCCCTCTCAGACGTGGTATTCGCGGGGAAGTACTCTCCTCTTTCTCTCTATCTGAGTCAGTTTCGTGTCTTTCTGCTCTTCGGGGCTTTCACAAAGCTGCCCACTTTGTGGCAAAAAATGCTCTTTCATCGATATTCCGGTTGCTTACGGACTACCGTTCTTTATTATTGTATGTCTTTTATTATTGTTTTTCGGCCCATGCCCTGGGGGCTTATCTTGGATAAAAGAAATCACCATTATATATATATAATGATACTATACCCTAACCTCTAGTGTACGTTATAAATTGGTTCAGGCTAGTGTACGTCAGTCGTACGCTGTACGCCAGTCGAGTTTTACTATTTAGAGCAGGAATTAAGCGAAATTTTGGGCATGATACTATACCCTAACCTCTAATGGATAAACCCCAGTCCCTAATTCTCTAACCAAAGCCACGAGATTCATTTAATCTAAAAAATAATAATCGACGGTTATGATTCAACGAAATATATTGAAGTGCAAAAACCAAGTGTGAACACAGGCGTACAGCGTACGACTGACGTATGCTAGCCTTTGCCACATATATAATAGGACTATGGATCATAGTAGGATGATTTACATACTATTGAGCAAGAACATCTTTGAAACTATTGAATCAAACTCTCATTAAAACACTACACTTATGACCAATAAGACTAAATTGGAATCGATAGCCAATGAAGTCCCAGATTTTGAAATAGCTCTATGAAAAACTAAAATAATCATTTTGATTATCTGAATAAGGTTGCGACACCTATTCAGTAGGTGCAAAGTCATGAATGAGGAGAAGATGAATTTAGACAAAAAAGAGAGTAATTGGGCTCGATAGTCAACAAGACCTAAATTTTTAAAATATTATTATCTAAAAACACAATAACTATTTCCACCACTTGAATACGGTTGAAAAATATGATTTCAGTGAGCACAAAGTCGTGAATCAGAAGAAGATGAATTTGGCGGTGAGGGAGAAATTGAATCATTTAGAAAAGAGCTTCGTGGCCCTCGAATGTGTGTCTCCAAACATATAAAGAGCATACTAAATGGAGTTCTTTCCTGAGGTCCCCACCTCCCAATCCTACCTCTTCTTCTCAGCTCAGGGAAACCCTGTCTCATACGAATCCCTCGCCAAGTAATCACTTTTTGGTGATTCACTGTGATGGGTCGTTCATTAGTGACTCTCATGGCGTTGTTGTTGTTAACAACCATGGACAAGTGTGTGATGGATGAGCTAAGAATCTTTTTTGTTCTACCCCAATTGAAGCGGAAAGAAAGGATCTTTTGGAAGGTATTAAATTAGCACAAAAATATGGATCCGAGTGCACGGTCCAATCCGATTGGCAAGTGCTGGTAAATGCTTTGAATCAAAATCGATCAAGTTGGCCTTGGCGTTGTGCCGCCTGGATTGGCTCTATGTCATAATTCTCAGGACAAACCGTTTCATCAAGGTCAATGAGGTGTCGATAGTACTCAATGTTAGAGCGATTGGGTTGCACATTTAAAGGCTATAGAATTACTCTTTCAGATGACTGGATTAATATTCTTGATCTAATTTGGTTTCTCTAACGATTTGTTTGCTGGAATAAAAGTTGAAATTATTGTAAAAAAAATCTTTACTTCTGTTAGTTTGATTGTTTAATAATAAGAACTGACTTGATGATGGCAATTGTTGACCTTATGAGGAAGAGCAACAAGTGATCAATAAAAACAAGACAAAGACAGTAAAGAAGCAAACTTTGATACGACAAAGGGAACGGGTCCCCAAATGAAGCTATGAAAACGTTCCAATCCAATGAAAGGACGATAAAAAAAAAGGTAGAAAAGAGAGATGAAAGATTTGATGTTCCAGTAACCACTAAAATCAAGCTAAGGCAGAACAATGGCGCCAGGGCCGGGCAGAGTATTCTACTACGTGTTCATTGTGTTGAATTGCTGGCACTATGCAGCTTCAGCTTCTTCTCACGCCGTAGTCACTCACCTTCCCGGATTCGATGGCCCACTTCCCTTTCACCTCGAAACAGGGTAAATAAAAATTTCCCCGGCAACAACTTTCCCCTCATGCGAGAGAGAAAAGAAAAATGAAAGACGGAACAAATGTTATGTCATGTATGGTTCGTCTTTTTGGACAGATATGTCGGAGTGGGAGAAAAAGAGGAAGCTCAGCTGTTCTACTACTTCGTTAAGTCGGAGGGCAATCCCGTGGATGATCCGGTGGTGCTCTGGCTCACCGGCGGCCCCGGCTGCTCTGCTTTATCCGGTCTCGTTTATGAAATCGGTTAGTAAAAACAAAATGAAAACAGAGGATCCCCTGTTTCTTCTGTTTTTTCATCCTGATCATGGCAAAAAGAAAAAATAGCAGAAAAAATTTACACTTCAAGGGATCATCTTATCAAATTGTTTTGGATTCGAAAATTTTCAGGTCCGATGAACTTCGAGATAGTTGAGTACAATGGGAGCTTGCCGTCACTCGTCTTGAATCCGGATTCATGGACACAGGTTAGGTGGTTGGTTTCCTGACAGGTTGTAACCACCGATGATTAATGATGGTTGCTAATTGTTATCCAGATTTTTCGCAGGTGGCTAGTATAATCTTTGTAGATATGCCTGTTGGGACGGGATTTTCCTATGCAACGTCGATCGAAGCATCCCAATCAAGTGACTTCTTACAAATTCAACAAGCATATGAGTTCCTTAGAAAGGTAAATAAGAAATTCTGATACATCCTGGTTCTGGTTGCCAATAGCAGGAATCTGGGTACTACTGATTGTTTGTTTTGGTTACTTTCGTCGCAATCACAATTCGCAGTGGCTGATCGACCATCCGGAGTTTATTACCAACCCGGTGTACGTCGGCGGGGACTCTTTTTCTGGGCTCATTGTTCCAGGCGTAGTTGCCAATATCTCAGATGGTAAGTTTGTCAATTTTGAAAAAATATGGCAAGAGACTTTTTACTAGATCATGTAATTTCTTCCATTTGGCCATGATTATCATCATAAATGCAGGGAATGAGGAGGGCAAGTTTCCATTCATAAATCTCAAGGTTCTTGTTAGTTCTTTTAATTTGTTGAACCAGCTCAAGTTCATTGTTGTTCTTTTTCCTTTCCTGATGGAGTGTCAACTAGATGACCATCGGTTGCGACTCTATGAATACTTGACAAATTTATTGACCGAATGTTCAGGGGTATTTGCTAGGAAATGCTGCAACAGATCCCCTCTTCGAGAACAACTTCGAAATCCCATATGCATTTGGCCATGCAATCATCTCTTATGAACTCTATCAGGTGATTGATTGATTTATTGAATATTCAGTTTCTCAACTGGACAACACTAGAAGTAAAAGTCACAGCTTAAATGATTGAGATAACTTGTTACATGCAGTCGTTGAAGAGAAACTGTGGAGGGAATTACAAAATCCCTGACCCCAGCAATTCCGCTTGTTTGACAAATATGAAAGCCTATAATGAGGTAATCACAATATCCCTAAAATCTTTTATTGCTAACAAACTAATTTGGGTTCTCATCAGGCTACTGCTGGGATTAACCCTGCACAAATTTTGGAGCCACAATGTGCCTACGCTTCCCCAAAGCCAATGGAGATACTGTATAGGAAAAGATACCTGAAGGAAGAATTTCAAGGATTCCTGGAGCTCAATGATAGACTCCCCACAATTGGCTGCCGCGTAATCCCCCAATTACTCTTCTGCCCTTCATTGCTTGTTAACACACTCCTGTGAAAGGAAGGGAAGTTTCTCATTTGTGATTTTGTGCATATGTCTGGATTAGACTTATGGATATCTGCTATCAAAGTATTGGGCCAACAACAAATCTGTCCAAACAGCACTTCATATCAAAGAGGTAACGTGATCAATATGAGCATAAACCTACTAGCTTGAAGAGTAATTGTTTTTCTGATAAAGGAAAAAGGGTCTTGATCTGGTGGCAGGGGAGTATAGGGACATGGCAGAGATGTAACTATGGATTGCCATATACACATCAGATTTTCAGGAGTGTTGATGATCACCTGTACCTTTCCGAAAAAGGCTATCGTTCATTAGTCTACAGGTTTCTTCTTCTTCCTCTTGTTCATACACTGGTTTCTCTGTTTCAGTGATTCTTAACTTTGGGGGATGTAAAACAGTGGGGATCATGACATGATGGTGACGTACTTGGGTACCCAAGCATGGATAAGAGCTCTGAACTTCTCCATCGTCGACGATTGGAGATCGTGGCACGTCGAAAACCAAGTTGCAGGGTATGTACTCATATTTGGTTCCTAGCTAATAACTTTTTGGGTTTCAGGTTTCTGATTAACTGAGCATCCTGAGCAGGTATACAAGGACTTACTCTAACAAGATGACATTTGCAACCGTTAAGGTAAAGAAGGCTTAGTTTGGGCTTTTGGTTGGATTTTTCATTTGCGCTCAATCTTTGATGAATGTGCAGGGAGGAGGGCATACGGCTCCAGAGTACAAACCCCACCAGTGTTTTGCAATGTTTAGAAGGTGGATCAGTGGGGAGCCCTTGTAGTTGTACAATTGTACTTATCAGCAGTTTCACATAATGCAGCTATGTTTTGATTTACATGGCTGGGGCTGCCTTTGTTGTTTGTTCCTCCTTTATCTTTCTTTTATGCATAGTATGCTATTATTGTAAGAACATTCATGCAAGGAGGGAAAAGAGAGGATCTCTACGTTGAACTCAACTTAAGCCATCATCATTTCCACATTACAGAATATTTACATATTATGAACACATTATGTAAGACTTATGAAAATATAGTTATTTCTGATGTATCAATTAAACAAGCGTATTACGTAACTCTTTCGGATGGTTAAAGGCAATATATAAAGTTTACATATAAATAGTTATTTCTTATATATCGGTCAAACCTATATTATCAAAGTCTTTCGTAATATAGATTTCAAGGAAAATTCCTCTATTATTAACTAAACTTTTGACCATCTCATGAAATTTGCATTACATAAAGGTTCTGTAAGGTCAATTGTTTTTATATCACAGCTCAATAAAATGTGATAATTTTCATAATTTAATTTCTTTATTAGCAACTAAAATATTCATTATCTTATCAATTTCCATTACGCAAAGCCGCAAAGGTTTCAATAAGGTAAATTACAAATACCTTATGTAAAACTTATGAGACATTTATTTCTTATATCAATTAAACAAACATATTATTTAAGTTTTTCATAATTATTAAAATACTACGTAAAGTTTAAGAATGTATGTTACCCGAAGTATTTCCAAGTTATTGAATCACAACTAAATTACTAAACGATAGATGAAATTTCAAGTATAATTAATTTCTTATCACCGCGAAGGGGAGCAAAGTACTAATATGATATTAATCATGCATAATCAATCGGATTTGTCATTAAAGTTAATTGGGAATCGCTTGTTGATTTCTCTATAAATTCACAAATTGTATTTGGAATTTCCTAGTAAGATAAATCAAATAGATTATGCCGAGGAAATCTCGCACTCGTATTGATGTGCATGCTTCATAATGATTTACTCGGGAACATGGTGAAGAGGTTCACAAACCAACATTGCAAGAGTGGGACAAAAGCAATTTAGATGTGCTTCTTTCTCGGTCAAGATAGGTAGCTTTATCGAGAAGACGGTTAAATATTTTTATCATCGTTGGTTGGCTAGCATAAAACGGTAGAAGTATTGTACTCCATAAAGATATCTACTAGATTAGATTAGCAAATTCATAGATGGAATTTCATTAATTCATGGATTCAGTTTTATCGTACCATTTTGAACAAACTAGAAAGGTTCATGTTTTAAGCCGTTTTGCTAAATACAATGGTGTTTTACCAAATTTTTTTTTTTTAATCTAGAAGGTTATACCACCATAGAATCAAATGCTCTCGTTTTCTGATTGGGAAAGGGAACCCCATCCATTCTAATCAAGACGTATACATTTTGATAATTTCATGTTTGTCTCCTGATTGAGAAACTCTTGAGTCTTGACCACGCAGCAAAATCAGTGATTAGACGGCAACGGCTGCAAATGCATCTAGGGGCCTAGCTAACCAACTGCACGACGACACGCGCGTTTCGAAATCTCCACTTCTGGGCTTCACGTCAGTGACAAATGAGCCCCTCCAAAATGCCATCCACGAATACAAAAACTCTTTCTGTTGCCGTCGCGGGGATCACCAATGGTCGCTGTTTGTCTGTTTGCTGTAAATAAACTTCACAATCTTATTATAGTTCCCAAGACATCAATAATGAGAAGACGAAACACAAAGTTGTCGGCTTCTTGATTACCAGTACGCAAAGCTCAAAATTACGTAAATCGTTTTGCAAGTTCATTGACAGTTTCAGATTTAGATTAGCTAAATATGGTCAGGTCCTTTTCCCCTTCGATTAGTTTATTGTCAAGATTACAAATCATATTGCTAATGCTAGCTAGTTGCCGTTTAGCATAATTGAACTTGCAAAACAGCTACCAAATAAACAAGCCCTGCAATTTCAATGCAACCAAAAATCAAGTTCACAGAGCACATAAGCAATTTGGTTGGTAGAAATGGAGAAACCGAACTCTCTCTGTCATCTCCTGCTAATCATTGTACTCCTTCCACTCTGGTTATCACTTGCAGCAGCAGCAGCAGCAGCCGCCTCTGAATCAACCATCAACTATCTCCCTGGTTTTGACGGCCCTCTACCGTTTGAATTGGAAACAGGGTGATTGAGGAAAAGAACTAATCTCTTCTCTTTTCTTGATCCCAAAAAAAAAAAAAAATCAGTACTTTGGTTTTAAATAAAGTTCCTAACTCTTTGTCAGGTACATTGGAGTTGGAGAAGCAGAGGAAGTGCAGCTGTTTTACTACTTTGTGAAGTCGGAGAGGAATCCAGAGCAAGACCCACTTCTCCTCTGGCTCACCGGCGGCCCTGGCTGCTCTGCCCTTTCAGGCCTTGCCTTCGAAATCGGTCCCCTTCGCTTTCAAGTAGCGGAATACAACGGAAGCTTGCCGACTTTGGTCTACAATCCCGACTCCTGGACAAAGGTTTCCAGCATTATATTTGTAGACTCACCAGTTGGGACTGGATTCTCTTACGCGACAACAAACTCGTCTGCAATTCGACCGAGTGACATTGTTCAAGTTTCTCATGCTGAAGAATTCCTCAGAAAAGTTGGCATCTTTGCGTCTTTCATATACTTGAAAACAAAAAATAGTGACAAAATAAAATGTTGATTATGTTCTGTTTTCTTTCCTTTTTTTACATAGTGGCTAAGGAAACATTCCGGTTTCCTGTGGAATCCACTTTACATAGCAGGGGATTCCTACTCAGGCATCACGCTTCCGGCCATAGTCCAACGACTTTCCATTGGTATGTTACATATACACAACTTGCCAGTTTCATGTGTTTCTTTGGTAAGATTATCTGCCATGTGTGTCCATTTGCAGGAAATGAAAATGGCGTCCAGCCATTCGTAAATCTCAAGGTTCGAACTACTGTTGTCTATCTCGCTTAATTTCGTTTCGAGATTAGTACTTGCAACCTCTATTTTTTTGTTTCCAGTCATGTTGTTACTATGTACTAATAGAGGCTATGAGGCCAGGGATACATGATTGGGAACCCAGTAACAGGTGGTGGATTTGACAACAACGCACAAATTCCATATGCACATGGGATGGCACTCATTTCCGATGAACTTTACCAGGTTTATCTCCCCCATCAGGTTCATTTCCGATGAAACACTGCATTTCTTTCTTGTATAACCCTCTGAATTTGTTTTGTTCAATGGATGTATTGTTGTAGTCACTGAAGGAAAGCTGTGGGGGAGAGTACGAGAGAATAGAAGCCACCAACTTGAAATGCCTCAGCAACTTAAAGGCTTTTCGTGAAGTATATATATATCATCTCCTTAATTTCAATATGGTTCGAAATCATGTGCAGTTTGCTGTGTAGTAAAATAAAATGTTCAATCCTATGTGTGCAGTGTTTGTCAGGAATCCAACCAGGAAGTATATTGGACCCAATATGTGGCTTTGCTTCCAGAAAGCCAATGGAGATTGCAGCCAGAAGAAAATTCATGCAAGATAAAGCTCAACCAGATTCTAGTTGCAGCGTAATCATGAACTGCTACATTATTAATACTTAGGGATCTTGAGCTCATTCCACAAAATGGCCTATTCATTTCACTGTATGTTTCATGTTTTAGCCACAATTTTACTCATACGTGCTTTGCAAATACTGGGCCGATGATGTACATGTCCGCAAAGCGCTTCATGTCCGAGAGGTAAAGATAGTGTTGGCAGTAAATAAAATGTTTGTGAGATTTCCAAATAAAAACCTAAAATGTTTGTGGTGATGGTGCTGGCAGGGGACAATAGACGGATGGATCAGATGTAATTATGGGTTAGGTTATGTATGTGATATTCCAAGCAGCTTCAAGTACCATGTCTATCTTTCGACCAATGGATACCGTTCATTGATCTACAGGTGACCCTCTGTATTTCCCTCCTCTCATATATCTTTCATTTTCTATTTTGGCTCGTGGATGATGATCACTCTTGACGAATAATGATGTGTGAGTCTTGGCACAGTGGAGACCATGATATCGTGGTGCCATTTTTGGGGACACAAACCTGGATTCGAGCTTTGAACTATTCCATTGTGGAAGATTGGCGATCCTGGCACGTCCAAGGCCAAGTTGCTGGGTAAGTAAGAATATAGCTAACATATGTTTCTCATTTTGTAGGGTAGGATGATTTAGCTCTCACATTTCTCATTTTGCAGGTATACGAGGACTTACTCTAATGGAATGACATATGCAACGGTTAAGGTTAGGGGCTTGATGAACATCATTACTACTTCGAGCTAGTGGGATATTCAATCTGTTTGAGGAGGATGAATGAAATATCCATAATTTTGCAGGGCGGAATGCATACAGCTCCGGAGAATAGACCAAGAGAATGTTGTGCTATGTTCGTTAGATGGATAAATAATGATCCTTTGTAATTATCCATCAAACATAGTGTTGAACACACATGTTATCTCTATTTACTACCAACTTAATTTGGTCGTTAGTCGTGGAAGTTGACTTTTCGTACTTCTGTTGGGTTTGGTTTCTTTTCACTGATAAAAGTTTCGACCCTACAAGTAATTTTAACTTGATGTTTACAGTGCACTATTTAATAAAAAACCACACTGACTGTTTTTTGGATTCGGTTACTCTAAGACTCTCTCCAACCATACCTCTCAAGTATACACATCTTCCCTCTCAAATTTACACTTTTACATCTCAGAACTAGGGGTGGAAATTGGGGTGGATGTGGTTACCCGCCCCACATTTTGCGGGTACCCAGACCCACAAATTTACAATTATGCTACCCACAACCCGCACGCAGTGGTTAGTGGTAACCATTACCCACTGTATGTTTGTACGGATTGGGTGTGGTTACTCGCAAAAATCCATATTTATAAGCATAGAGTTCTAGTCGCCACTAATGTATTTGTTGTTCGCAACTAAACTATAGTGATATACAATTGTGTTGTTCGTGGAGATACAATTTTGTACATCGATCTTACTCAACGTGGAGATTTTTCTTTGTGAGTTTGGTATTCAACTTTTGTGTCAGAGAGCTGTGATTTCATATTTCCCCGACTAGGGGTGAATATGACAATTAAATATGATCTTGTACTTTTTTCACACAAAAGCAAAAACATTCTGATAAAAGTAACAAAAGTTGTTCACTTTTAATGAATTGATTATTCTCCACTCTATCGATTATAGTGTTTTATAAACTAAAAAATTCTTACATAAAACTGGCAAGGTGTGTCTTTTTTATGTGGTGACTACTTTAATTTTTATCCTCGCACTTTTCACATACTTTTATATTATAAAGTTAATTCACTAAATAAATATAATTAGTGTGGTTATTGTGGATTTTGTGGATTAACCGCGGTAGGTAGTGGATAACCACTAACCACAAAAATCGTTATTTTACTACCCACTACCCACAACTTGTGGGTATGGTTACCCACAATAGGTGCGGGTTGGTTGCCGTCGGTCTCTGTTATCTCGGCCATCGTCGATCCAAAGGATGGGTCCATCACTTCCTTGGAAAATCTCAGAAATTTGGCTGTGGCAAGCAACATACCAATCGTCTCAATTACCAATCTAGTAAGGTGACGTGACCCACATTGTTTAAATAACTGTAAACATTACCATTCTGTAAATTGACTTGCCGTCAAAGAAGCCATTGTAGGTACCGGAGAAAGAGGGAGAAATTGGTGGAAAGAACAGCAATCTCTGCCCTGCCCACAAAACATGGCGTCTTTAAAGCTTACTGCTACCGCTCAAAACTAGATGACACAGAACAAATAGCCCTTGTCAGGGTAACAAGAAGAACCCATAAGGAAAACCAATTTCCATGATTCATCAATTAATGATTGTGTGGTTTTTGGCAGAGAGAAATTGGGAACGGTGAGGACGTACTGGTGAGAGTTCACTCTGAGTGCTTGACGGGCGACATATTCGGGTCGAGTCGGTGAGACTGCGGGAACCAATTGGATCTGGCGATGCGATTGAGAGAGGAGCCGGAAGAGGAGTGGTGGTGTACCTACGAGGGCACGAAGGGAGAGGGATCGGACTGGATTACAAGCTTCACGATCACAAAGAGCGGGTTCTTCAATTTGATTATTGTGAGTAATGTCGGCGGTAGCGGTGACGTGGCGGCGATGGCAGTGATGGAGGAGGAGAAAGGATAGGTTTAGGTGTTTATTAATAGGAATTAATTTTAATTTTAATTTTTTAATAGTTGTAAAATGATGTGGAAATTATAAATGTTTAAATTTTATTATTTTAATATTTTTTAATTGCCACGTCACTCATTTAACGGTCAATTATAATAGTTGACAGCCACATCAGCAAAAACTAACGGAGACTAACAGAGAGTGACCAAATTTGTATAATTAAACTAATTTTAGTGACCATAAATGATATTAAATATTTGCAGTGACCAAATATGAACGTTTTTAGTAAACCCAGTGACTAACCTTACAATTAACCCCCAAATATATATATACACACATTCTTCACATTCCGAAACTTCGATTCCTATTAAAACAACCGATATATGAATATATATAGTGATCGAGACCGCCACCTACCTAGCTGCCCGGCAAATTATTGCTCGGAAAGGCAACCAACCACACCACAAAAAAACCAGTGATTAGCTAGTCTGCAACCAGCTACGGACAACATGCATCCACGTTTCGTCTTTTTCCACCGTAGGCGTAGCCAAACAAAATCTCCACATCTGGGCTTCACGTAATAACAAGTGAGGCCCTCCAAGTCAGGATGTCAGCAGCTCCTCCATAGCAAACTAAAAGCTCAGCTGCCAAACCCAACTTGCAGCCTGCAGCAACAAACCCAGAAACCAACAACATTATTCATTAATACCCAACTCTCAGTGTAGCTACACAATAGAATACGGTTAGATTTTTTTTTTTTTTTTTTTTTTGACAAAGAATACAGTTAGATTGCAAGGGTGGGAAAAAATATTTTCTTTTCTTCATTTCACAACCGACAGTCCCAACTCTCAATTGTCCTAGCCATCATTGGTGGTATTTGTTTATAGGAAACTCCGAAACTCAGCACCCTCAAGACCCAACCCCGAAAGGCACAATTCACAATCAATCATGGAAAATATTATAGGACGCCTCTTCTTCCTTCTTCTTGTGCTGGAATTCCAGCTCCAGGCATTCTTCAGCTCTGCCTCTGCCTCCAAAACAGCTAATGGTATCAAGTATCTTCCTGGATTCGATGGCCCGCTTCCATTCTACTTGGAAACAGGGTGAGAGTTTTATACAAGTAAAGATGCCGCTATCAAGCGCGTAATCGTATTACTACTGACTAGCTGATTACGGTTGCGTGGGGGAAGGTATATTGGCCTGGGAGAAGCAGAGGAGGTGCAGCTGTTTTACTATTTTGTCAAGTCAGAGAGGAATCCAGAGCAAGACCCTCTCATACTCTGGCTTACTGGAGGCCCTGGCTGCTCGTCTTTTTCTGGTCTCGCCTTTGAGATCGGTAATTAACTATCTACCTTTCTGGCTGAGTTCAGCACCATTATACCTGCTGTTTTCGTGGGTTTTTCTGATCTCTGTTGAATCCAATGGTTGAAGGTCCTGTTCGGTTTAAAGTGGTGGAATATAATGGGAGCTTACCCACATTGGTCTTGAATCCTGACTCTTGGACAAAGGTACAACCAAGAAATCAACCATCTTTCGTTTGGATACGTGATTATCCTCTTGGGTCGGCATTTAGAGTCTGCTGAATTATAGATCAACCGGTTAACATGTGAACTGAGTTGCAAGCTAATCAGGTTATGGTTTGAGCAAGGTTATTGAGGTTAGCCAAAACTTGAACAAATGCTAGATATTGACTTATTGAGTAGTGTCACTTGTGTCATCAGTTGTGTGCAAACGGGCAGATTGGGGTTTGGGGCACAATTCAGGTTGAGTTAATTAGGTTGCTGTTCAATTTCTAATTTAATAATAATATTATGTCACCATTATTAAAAAAAAAAAAAAAGTTGTTCAATGGCTATCCGAAGGCTTAAGATAGGGTGAGTAACCTTAGGGTGAGTAACAATGAGTAACCAAATCTGAACCCTTCTTTTAAGTGGTTGCAGATCTAAGGGTGGAAAATTAAAGAAATTTATTTTCCATAGTTTTCTTAATTGGATCATATCTTCTTCATTATAACTCGGATTTCAATTTTTTTTGCACAGATAGAACGAGTTCGTTGTGCTCTACAAAATGATATCCATTTTCAATATTTTTTGAGAAAACAAAATTTCATCCCTCTCGTTACCAACTCCATACCATATTGTATCTCCTTCATTGTTTAGTCATTTTCAAAAATTTTGCATAAAAGGAACAATTTAATCATGATCTAATTGGATCATATCTTCTTCGTTATAACTCGGATGTCAATTTTTTTTGCACAGATGGAACGAATTCGTTGTGCTCTACAAAATGATATCCATTTTCAATATTTTTTGAGAAAAAAAAATTCCATCCCTCTCGTTACCAACTCCATACCATATGGTATCTCCTTCGTTGTTTAGTCATTTTTGAAAATTTTGCATAAAAGGAACTATTTAATCATGATCTATTGGATTTCAAAATTTTATGGGGGAAAAAATTCCATACCTCTCGTTACCAACTCCATACCATACTATACCACCCTGGTATGAGGTGGTATTTTTCATACCATATGGTATGCTGTTATTTAATACCAGTCAATACCATATGATATTGACTGGTAATAACTGGCAAATTTTTTTTTCCAAAAAATATCAAAGTGGATATCATTTTGAATCGTTACCGACTCCACACCATACTATACCACCCTGGTATGAGGTGGTATTTATCATACCATATGGTATGCTGTTATTTAATACCAGTCAATACCATATGGTATTGACTGGTAATAACTAGCAACTTTTTTTGTTCAAAAAAATATCAAAGTGAATATCATTTTGAAGAGCACAAGTAATCTGATCTAATTGTGCAAAAAAAATTAAATTCTGAGTTAAAACTAGTGAGAAATCGTCCATTAAAGAATAAGGGAAATAAAATTAATAATTTTTCCAGGAGAGAGAATGAGGCGATGATGTGGCAGATTCTTATTGAGTTATGCATGAGGTTACTCACCACAAGATTACACCGGATCTGCTCCCTATACGAAACGTATGTTAATTGAGTAGTGCTAATGGAGATGCGAGTTGATAAGATTTTATGTGAATTCGATTAAATAGGACTCATTTAGTATAGTTTTGTAATAGTTGTGGTTACAATACAATAGTGAGAACAGAGACAACCACAACACTATAAAAATGAATAAAAAACCGAAACACGTTAGTCGGTAATTCAAACAAATTGTGGAAGTTGAAAATTTTTAATGTTTGGTTAATTTATTAGGTGTTGTTTAGTAACAATGTTGATACTTAGAAAAAATAGAAAATAATGGAAGGAATAGTGTAGCATGACGAATTATGAGAAAATTGAAGCATGTAAAAAATTTAAAAATAATAATGACAATCTGGTTTCGAGGATGAGTTATGCAAATATATAGAAAGGGAATCTAGTGAGATTTGATCATAAACTCATTTGAATGAAATTATTACAACAACTGATAGGATCCCACAAGAAATAACAATGGCGATATTAAAAGTTGTTTTACTGTTTTAGCTACTATACATCGTATTGTCAACTCTTGTGTCACAAGTCCCTGTTTTTCGCAACAGAAAAGAATACTAAACAAGCATATAGTCTTGATATCTAGCTCGTGTTTGTGGAAACTTAAATGATACTCAGTTTTACATTGTTGCTGATATTATCAGGTTTCCAGTATAATATTTCTGGACCTCCCAGTTGGAGCAGGGTTCTCCTATGCAACAAGCGAGCCCGCTTCCCGATCAAGTGACAAAGTGCAAGCATCCCAAGCTGTCGAATTTATGCGAAAAGTAATACTCGCTTCCCCTTATTCCCAACTAATATGAAATCAAAGTTGTGACATGCAATCGTCTAACCAATAGAATTAATGATGTACAGTGGCTAAAGAAACATCCGAAGTTCCAAACAAATCAATTTTACATCGGCGGGGATTCCTATGCAGGCATCCCTTTACCCATCGCGGCTCAAAGCATTTCCAACGGTATATAAAAATATTTAATAGTATAATCTTTACAGGTTGAACCAGGTATTTCAAATTCTCTATCTAAATGTGTATGTCTAAAACTTACTGTTTGTGCAGAAAATGAAGTGGGCATTAAGCCGATATTCAATCTCAAGGTGGTTTATACTTGAAATTACTACGGAAAAAATTTGTGTTGTGTTCCATAGAAAAAGAACTTCCTATGCTGTTGAATTTTCCTTCATTGTTGTAATTTGTTTCCAAAAACTCGTTGTTTCAAGGGATACATACTCGGAAACCCGTTGACAAATTTTAGAATTGATGATAACTCAAAAATATCAACTGCGCATGGATTGACACTCATTTCAGATGAACTTTACCAGGTATGACAAATGAGCTCGATCGATCAAATTAAATTGTTGCTTGGGCCATGATTTTGAGTGTAACTCATCTACATCTTTTATCTGTTGCATACAGTCATTGAAGACAAGTTGTGGCGAGGAATATCATGATGTTGATCCTACCAATCATGAATGTATCAACAATTTAGATGCTTTTCAGGAGGTAAACGTGCTTTTGAATAACAAGGTTTTTTTATGAAAAGTTTAAATCGTGTGTAGATCTAATGATGATGAAGATAACCATATTGCAACAAAATTCAGTGTTTGTCAGGACTATACACTGAGAACATATTATATCCAAAGTGTGCAATAGCTTCTCCAAAGCCAATAATGGAGGAGATCCAGATGGACAACAGAAGGAGATTCCTATGGGATAGACAACAATCTCTCTCTATAGATGTTCCTACATTCGGTTGTCCGGTAAGCCAGAGTATATTTGACTTCTCTTCTTTTGCTTATTAAGAGTCAAATATTTATACTATGGTTGGGTTTTATGTTTGTAGACTTACCCTTACCTTCTTTCCGATTACTGGGCGAATGATGTAGTAGTCCGCAAAGCACTTCATGTGAGAAAGGTACAACAATAAACTAATGCACTTGGAATTCCCAGTAACATGTTACTCCAAGAGTATAATAACAAAAATATATTTCTTTTCAGCAAAGTTTAGTTCTGAGATATGAAAAAAATACGCATACACTTCATAATAACGAAAAAATATTCAGCCTATAAGATTGTACTGGATGTTAGTGAGATGTTGAACCCATCTAATAATGACCTCAAGCATGAATATCCCATCAAGAATCCCTACCAAAGAGCAAACTGAGTAATCATTTTCATGCAGGACACCGTGCAAAGATGGATACGATGTAACTACAGGTTAAATTACAATTCAGATGTCAGCAGCAGCTTTAAGTATCATGTCCACCTTTCAACCAAGGGTTATCGTTCGTTGATATACAGGTTATTTCTTTTCCAGTTTTGTCATCTCCTTTCTCTTTTGTGCTAATTTGTCTGAAAAATAAGGTGATGATGGCAGTACGTATATGAGTTTTTGTACAGCGGGGATCATGATATGGTGGTACCATCAATGGGAACGCAAGCCTGGATTAGAGCTCTCAACTACTCCATTGTAGAAGATTGGCGATCATGGCACGTGGATGGCCAAGTAGGAGGGTATACAAGAACATACTCCAATGGAATGACATTTGCAACTGTCAAGGTGAGGGGAGATAGCTAATTAATGTGTTTATTGCCACGTTTTTGTCACGTCAACGAAAGTCAACGTCTCTTTGACCATTATTTGGTCAACTATTATTTCCAACGGTCAATGAAAGTGTCAGAACATAAATGTCATATAACACAGAAAGCTCGTGCTAGGATTGTCATATTGAATAGTTGAAAACATAAATGACACTTTTTGAATAGTTTGGACTTTGGTTTTTTTTTTTTCACAGGGAGCTGGGCATATAGCAGTAGCGCACAAGCCTCTAGAGTGCTCGGTTTTGTTCAAAAAGTGGATAAATCAAGAGCCTCTGTGAAAACAAGATATGCAAAGAAAAGGTTCAAGTCAGTAACGTATAAATTTTTGCAAGAAAGACTTTATTTATATATAAATAAAGGGACGTCACACTCATAAGAAGTTTTTTAGGCAAGAAACTTTTGGTACTAATTCAAGCTTTGTTTGCTAGATTTCTTCAAGGGTTGGCCTGATTTGTCGAAGGAAGGATGGGTATCACTCCCGTTATCTACACTCAAATGATCAATATTAGTGTCATTGTGAGGAAGAACTCGGAGAGTAACGATAGAGAGAGATAAGGGTATGTAAAGTGAGGAGAGGAGAAGACTCTTTATTTGGAAGACCTAATGTCTGCTCTATAGGCATAAGCTTGTGTTACTTTTTTGGACTTTGATTGTAACTTGAAGGTGTTAGTGGCTTGGACTCATATGCATATCGTTGTTAAGGTCCAGGTCGGGCTATGTTATATTTACAGGTATAGCAATTGTGCACACGTGATCTTCCTTTTCACTGATCGCAACCAGGCTGTTAAACCTTTTGGTTCCTCCTTCTTTGCATCCTTTAAATCTAAATGAATCAAAGCTTGATACAAACATTCCTTAACATGCTAGGACCTAAATTAGAAGAGAAAACATAACTTTATATAACCTAACATAGAATAGAATAATAATGAACAAGTTATAAGGCGAATGAACAAAAACTGGTAAAAACCTTGCTAAGTCCTAGAATATCAACATTTAGTCACATTAAGTATAGCACAAAATCAACCCAAAATGGCCAAGGTATGATTATACTAACATTCAAACACTTAATAAATGAGGTCTAAAATATGCAAAAAAAAATATGTGTCATCAAATCCCTCCACACTTCAGCTTTTGTTTATCCTCAAGCAATGATGTACTTCAATTGTGTAACTCAACCCTTTCCCACCCATCGTATGCAAGTTGAATAGTCAGAGCTGGGTTGTTCGCAACTTCCTAGAAACTTTTCTTGCGACATTTCTCCATTTGGTGAGTTTGATTTCATTATAGTATGAAGGGCAGTACACTCAAGTGTGGGTTGATAGGCATATGGTATCCAGTGGCCTCTAGGAGTGGGATAGAAGAGTAGATGCTTACATTTATGTTTCTCGCTTTTCCAACAACCTTATTATTCTCCTTGGGTACCTTTTAGGGCGGGGAAGGGGGTGGGGGTGGGGGGGGCTATAGCACCTTTGATCGAGAAAGTAGGAGTTACTATGCATTGACTTTTCTTCCCCAACCTACACCTAGGCCCTTGTAGAAAGGCAATTACATAGGGGATTTACCAAATTTTAACCCAATCAAACCAAACCATAGTTGGGTTCCTACTGTAACACCCCGGTATTTTGATTTTAGGTTCGACCTTAAATTGGAATTGGTTGGATTGACGATTATGTACTAGGAGTTACAACCGCGGTTTAGTAATAATAATAGCTACTACTATTATTATTACTATAATAAAATATATATATATAAATCAGATTGGGGGGGGGGGGGGGGGGGGGGAGCGGCCCTAATATTTCCCAAACCACAAGCCCCGCCGCGTTCTCAATTTCCCCAGGGGAAAAAGAGAGTCGACCGCCGCCGCCGATTAATTCTCCAGCCCGCGCGAGTCGACAGCCGATCCCGATCCCATCCCTCTCGTGTTCTAGGTAAGGATCACGAACCCCTTCGTGATCTCTAAACTCGATTTACCGATAGTCTAATCCGAAGCTCGTATTTTTATTAACGGTGACGTTGAGAGTTCGATCAGCAAGGAGATCAACATCTCGGGCCATCCAACCTAGGCCTAGGCACGTTCTAGAGGTAAGGAAACTCGATCCCTTTGATTTAGATCAATCGATTTAGTGATTTTTCGTGAGGGTGCAATTCTGGGTTTTTAGCAACAGGCGTTACGGGCTTTTAGTGACAGATTTTGATTGGTCACTAAAGCTCCTGGGAATTTCCAGAAACATATTTTTAGACATTTTAAATTGTTTTGAGCCTCTCTATAGGTTTTTTCTGGATCTAACAATTTTATAAATTGAGTGACGTCTAGAAGATAATTTTAATTTAATTTGGGAATTTTTGGAGATGTATTTCTTTTTTAAAAAATTGTTTTAATATTTGTTTTAATTAAATAGAAATCTTTCCGAGGGGTTTTTAAGGGTTTGATAAATTTCCAGGGTATAGGGGCTCATGATTGACATGGGAAAATCATTGTCCGAATTTTTAAGAAGGTTCTAGTTAGGTATAAAATTCGTCCAAGACTAAAATAATTAAGTAAAATGGTCGTTTTTGAAGGGATTAATTCTAGAAAATTTTAGTGGGGGTTAAAGGACCCTTGGAATGAGGTGCAAGGACTGGAGTTTGAGGAGAGGATGTTCTAGTGATTCAAAAGGGGTTTTAAATCAAGAAAAGTCGTATAAGAAAATGGTTTCTTATTAATAGGTTTCCCCAAGATAATCCGGCTAAGGAGGGGTTTCTTCGAGGAAGGAATTGAGGATTCATCTTTACGAGGTGAGTGTAAAGGAGGTAAAATCTTTGTCGTAGGTCTTTTAGTTTCCGCTTTTCGTTCATGTTATTATTTAGTTAATTTTTCTAGTGTGCGCGATATGTGTGTGAGGCATCCCAACGCCTGTAAGGGTGGAGGCACGCGTTGTGCTTTGTAGGGATGTATGTGATGTTGTATGGATTGATGGTATGAGGAACCCGCGGGCGGTTGGGTCACTACTGGACGGCGAGACGTAACGCAGTAGTTGACGGACATGGACTGGATGGTGAGACGTAACGCAGTGCCATTGCCGAGTTTGGGTATGCAACCGGACGGCGAGACGTAATGCGGTTGGCATACTAGGGTAGAAAACCGGACGGCGAGACGTAACGCGGTGGTCCTAATATTTTGTGTTTGAGTTAAGGATAGAAGGCGAGCACTCTTAGGAGTTAATGTTGAGATGAGTCGATAAGAATGGTTATTTAAGAGCAGAAAGCGAGAACGACTTTCATGCTAGGAAGGCATTCCCCTAATAACGCGTTTAGTAAGGAGTTGCCTAGGGCAAAGACCTTAGGGTGTAACGATGAGACTGACCCCTTCTCACTCACCAGGTGCATAGAGGGGAAGAGGACGCATCCATCAAAAGGAGATTACCCGAGGAGAGCAGCCGCGGCTAACCTGAAGATGTCAACCGGATCTGGGTAACGAGATGAGACCTCCCATTATATTTGTCTTTAGTTTCATGTATTAATGAGTATACTGGGAAACTCGAGGATTGTGTTTTATGTTTTGTTGCTCTGGATTGAGGTCGCCCAACACTTGAAAATCTTAAGCATTGTGGTTGTTGATTTTTGGTTTTGACTTGTAAACCGTTTTGGGTTGCTCCAGAGTAACCGGTTTGTGGTTTGAGTTGTGGTTTGGTTTTTAAAAAGGATCGGGACGTGTCACCTATAAACATCACCCTCTAACATGGTTGTCAATAGAAGGGGTCATGTGCACTAGTTGCCCTTATTTGGTTGAGTGGAAACCTCCTTAGGTTCGCATTCACATAATCACTCTAGAGACGACCAAGTACTCATGTACATACTTTCAATGGTGCAGACCACCATAGGGGCATGTACTCAGACCTCCCTCATCACTCGTTAAGCACCTCACAAGGTTTGAAATTACCTAGTAGGTAACCATGATCGTATTTACTTCAGGCCTTCTACATCCCCCTACTCAGTTAGTGAGGGACTTGTTAGTGGTTTTGAAACAACTTATGGTAGAGTTCCTCCGAGGTCGAGGTTCCCCTTAGTTTTGTCTCATAAAAAAAACTAACTAGTGCAAAACAAAAGGAAAGTTTTGTTGGGCAAGATCTCAAAGAGTTTCCTTGACCGTTGAGATCCGTTGGAGCTCATTTAAGTACATCCAACGGTTAGACCACCTGGTGTATACTATACGGCTGACGTACACCAATCATTACCATATCTATATACGGCTGACGTACGCTAGCCTTTGCCATATACATATATATATATATATATATATATATATATACATATACATATATACATACATGGGCAGTTCTAAGGTGCCCATGGCAAAATTCGGGGTACGGAAGACCGAGGGAAGGAAAATTACAAAAAGCGGCACGAAGCGTTAAAGCTTTTTTCATTGAATTTCAACCTAACTGTGCCCAGTTTAATTATATTGATTAAGAGGTTAAACCCTATGGATACGACCCACCGCCGCCCTAACCAATTTCCAGTCTCCCTTCTATGATCCCTCATTCGTCTTGGAGGGTCCCCTCTTAGTTCGAAGTTCTATCATAAGCTGCCTATCAAATCTGAAATCTCAAACAAAATCATCATTTCGAAAACCAAATCCTTTTATTATTTTATCCACATTCGACTTAGCTCACTATCCAATCTCAAATCCCCAACATCATCATGTTTCATACCCCAAATCTATGTATCCACATTCGAAGAGAAGATCCCCATCCAATATGAAATCCTCACATAATCATCGTTTTGAACCCCAAATCCTTGTATCCACAAATCGACGTTTTGTTCCTCGCCATTTTATTTCCGGGCAGAATTTACTCACCTATCTCTTTCTAACACAATTACGGCGACCATTTCTATTATTGTGTTCATCAAACTTTTCATTTGCAAAAGAACCCTTGAAAGAGGTTGCTAACCCTAGGGTTCATGTCGCTAGTGCTTTGTCATCTTGTCTTAGCGTTATTATCATTTGCAAAATAACTTCTATCTCTCAGTGAAATTAATGTTTCCTGATATGTAGTGTTCGTCTCGCCCAGAGGATTGAGGAAGAAGATGAAGAAGAAAGAATTTGATTCGAATCGGATGGAGAGGTCTCCTTAATTTGTGTTTATGTATTAACAGTGCGTTTAGGACTAATTCTAGTTGGACTGGGTCTGATCATTGATTTTTGCAGGCTTTTAAATAACATTCAAAAGTGGGCTTGTACATGATCCATGGCACCTAGTTTGTTGATAATAGATACTGAGTTCCGGATTGTCATTAGGTTGGGCCTTTGATAATTGTCTATCTCAGTGGCGGTTCTTTGTTTTACTTGTTTTTATATTTTATTTTTATCTGTTTCTGCTTCTAAAATCCTGATCGTGCCTTGAGTTCACGAATTTAAACATAATTATGTGTTCCATCTTTTTTTGAGATTTGGTAAATGGTAGCGTGTCTCTTTACACATTTAGCGGTACGAGGTAAACTACAATCCGCCCAATTTAACTCTTCATTAATTGGCCCTATTCCACTCTTTCACTGATTGCCCCTCTTTATGCAATGCACTCGTACATAACAAACCTCTTGTAGCTAATTAGAAGCTTGTGGTTGGATACTGAGTGAAGATATTTTTTTAATTTATGTTTTGAAACTAAAGTTAGAATTTCACTTTTGAAGTACCTATGTACTTTAGTTGGCCAAGTATTTTCAAAATGTAAAATTTTATCAGCGTATAGGTATATGATTGTTGTATAAGGTGTTGATGTTAAAGGAAATGGGTACTGATTGCTTAGGGTATTAGGTTGTTGATGGTATAGAGTATATGGTATATGAGTAGGTTATAAGGTGTAAGGTGTTGATGGTTTAGAGCATATGGTATTGATTGCTTAGGGTGAGGGTAGGTGTTGTTTTATTTTTTCTCGATTTTATATTTTCTTTATATCTGCTTATAAATGCCGATCATGCCTTATTACTGTAATTATTGTAGCGTGACACATTTATCGATACGAGATAAAATGATTTGGTGTGTGCAAGGTAGGTTCCTATTAACTATTTTGCCTTGTTGGTTATCCTTGTTGGTGATTCTGGCCATTAGCGATTCGACATATATGGAATGAAAATTAGTTAGAGTTATTAAGTTCATCTTTCTTCATTTATTCTTTGATTTAAACCTACATGTTTTTGCTCATAAGGATTTTGTAGTGGTGTGGTAAAGACATTCCGTCCAATTTAACTCTTCATTAATTCCCCCTTTTCCACTCTCTCACTCCCCCACGAAGCAGAAACAATCCACTATGATATATTTACCGTTCATTTTAACCCTTAACTTAATAAGAAAGCGAAATTTCACATGATGATTATAAATTTCATGTAGCTTAATTGTTTAATTGTCCTTAAGTTGCTGAGTTAATAAAGTAGAGGTTTGTGGTTAGATACTTAGCGACTATCAATTTTTAATTTATGTTTTGAACAGAAAGTTAGAATTTCAATTTTGAAGTACCTATGTACTTTAGTTGGGCAAGAAAAGTTAATAAACAATAAAATAGAAAAAGAAAATAGTTATCTATGTGGCATTGCTAGAAGAATTCCTAATTTAGCAATCTTGCTAGTTTAGAAAGAACTCCTCCATCCCTAAACCATTGCTAAGTTTTTTTCATCTAAGCTCCACCTCATCTTTAGCAATTTCTAAAAGTTGGGGACTTAGACCATCTCCATCCTTGCAATCAATAGGCAATGTCTAAAGTGGGCCCTTATCACCACATCACCAATCAAGCAAAAAACCCATTCAATATTTTCCAAACCCCTACATCCCTAAAACCAATAAGCAATTGCCAATAGTGGTCCCATACAAAGAAAGAAAAAGTAATTGAAAAATAAAAAATATCCTAGGTGGCATTGCAAGATGAATTTCTTATTTAGCAATCTTGCTAAATAAGAAAGCACCCCCACATCCTTGCAATTGCTTAAAAGTGGTGCCACCTAGGATTCCACTAAATAAGCAATGGGATGGAGATGGTCTAAGGTGTTTATGGTTTAGAGCATAAGCCTATAAGGTATTGAAGGTTAGGGTATAAGGTAGGCAACAAAGTGTTGATGGTTTAGAGTATATATGGTATTGATTGGTTAGGGTATAAGGTGTTATTGTTGGAGAGTATATGGTATTGATTGGTTCGGGTATTAGGGTTTAGTTTAGGGTTTAGGATTACAATAACATATACCAAATCAGTAGATTAATTTTGCTAACGAAAAAGTTAGTTAATCTACAAAGCTAGTCAAAAAGCACATCCCCATCTCCCGTTGTCAATTCCTAAACGTTTCCTTTAATCCGATGGTGAAAGAGCTTCAATCCTTGCCGCGGCGTGTCACCCAATCAGATTTCGCCGTTTTCGGAAATTCGCATTTGCCCATAACTAGTGCTGGTGTTACCAAGGCTGAGGCAGCGGTAGGGAGTGTGATTTTCAGTAAATGGGAAGGGCTGGAAAGAGAAAGTAATTTTACGAGTCCATTTATAAATTCTTTAATCGGAGAAGGAGAGACCATGCTCCGAAACCCGAGAGGCACTCATCTCCTGCTGTTGTTCGTTCCTCCTCCTCTCAATCCCTGAAAAGACCCCTTTCTCTCATTTTCTCGATATGAAACTCTGAAAATCAACCCCATCCGCCTCTTCGTGCTCCTGTCTCATGCTTTATTTTCGGGTGTAGTGGTAATGACGAGACTGCGTATTATTTTAGATTTCAGTTCCTTCCATTATGTCATTGTTAGATCATGACTGTTAAACTAAATCCTTGATTTTATTATTTCTTCTTTGCTCTCCATACAGGGTATTTGTTAGAGGCAGGGTGGGGAGCATTGACAATAATTCGCCGTCTGAATATTGCCGAAAAATCATCATATGTTGTTACGATTCCATAATAGGTGTTGTGGAACCCTACGTCATATGGTGGTTATTTTGTGCGACATTGGCGCGTACATGTTGATCATGCTCCGAAAATATATACAAGAGGGGAAAGTTGCCATATCTATAGTATAAAAGTGGGAGGGAAAGTACATTGTTTTGTTTTTCAAGATTTGTACTTTTAGTGTTTGAGATCTTAATAGATCGGTGAGGGATCTTTCACTCAATAAAAATACTGTAGTTTATTTCTTGATTACTGACTCCATTTTCAGAAGTCTTTTACTATTGTGCCAACAGTATATTTTCCGGATTTCGAACTCTGCTCCTCTGTCGCAACATGCTCTTGTCATTTCACGCCTAAAATAATAAAGTGAAATGGAAAAAGGAAAATTTCCATTTCATAATTTTAATAGCCAATATTAAATAAATTTATAAACAAGTAAAAAATACGATATAATAATTCAATAAAAAAAGAGTGAGAAAAATTATTCAACTATAATGTTGCACATGATTTATTTGGGGAGCAGTCTCCATATCAAATTAAATCAAATCCATCCGATCTAAATAAAATGACACCATAGAAGGCAGTAGTCTTCTTATAAACCAACAGTCTTCTTATAAACCAAAGAGACACATAAATAAAACGACACCGCAGAAGGCAACAGTCTTCTTATAAACCAAACGACGCCGCTTCAAGCTGACATCCGTAGTCTTCACATAACCCTAATCCGAATAGGATATGGACTTCCATCTTCACTTCAAGTTTTCAACACTGATCAAATAGTTGCAGCCCTTTTACACACGCATTCCGAAGAACTCAAGTGTCCAAAACTTTGGTCCTTAGGTTGCTACTTCTGGTAACAGACCTTCTTGGCAAAATCGATAACGACGATTTTAGTCGTACAAAAATATTAGATGCAACTGCATTGTGGAGGCACGAACAATTATATTTTATTCTTGCCCTAGGTTGCTCGTAATGGTCGTCATCGTCATTTTCATCATCGTCATTTTCATCATCGGATGGTCCAGACCCAGTACACTTTCTTGCATTATGATTGGTAGAACCGCACTTACTGCAATGCTTTTGCCTTCTCTTCGGTACTGTTTTCGACTGATTTTGAGTGGTGGGAGGATCAACATCGGTGTCATCGCCACCGCCACCTTCTTCCGAAACACCAGCATTCGGGGCATCACTATTTGAGGTTGGCTTCACATAGCCAACAGGATGTGGGCATCGGGTCCTATAGTGGCGCCATTCCCCGCAATTACTACACTGTCGTGGTTCTCCTTTCTTCCTTTTAGATTTTTTAGCCCCCGAACCTTTAGCTTTGACCTGTAATGGATCCAACAAAATATCATTCTCCTTCGTTCTATTAATGTTGGGTATGTCCACGTTGCCAGTGTCCACCTTGTCCAACTTTTCACATAATGATTGAATTCCCTCACGAGCAATCTTGAAGCACTCACTAGATATTGGCCCTTTTAACATTAGTTGTAAGCTGTTTTGTTGAATAGTACCATACTTGATTGACACAATATTTTATACAAAGTGAGTAAAATTAACGTTCACCTAGCTTCGAACCAATATTAAAAAAAAAAAAATTAAAAGTGATAGTCATGGCAAACCTCAATGCGAAAAGTTGCGATTCATCTATTATGTCCGGTTCCTTCAAGCTCTCTAGTGTCTTCGGCTTCTTTGACCATCTTCGATGGACTAGGCCTTCAGGAAGTTCTAGTATGCTCTCTTCTTTCAGTACAAAAATCATATGACGGCATGGTATTCCCATATAATCGTAGCGATTACAACTACACTCCATTGCAAAGGGTTCAACTGTGTGCGTGACTTGAAAAACCTTATCCATGGCAGACACCTTGACCTTGTACACACGCTCAATTTCCGATCGCTCTGATTCCACCCTTATGCAACATGCCGACTTTTCAACCTCGTCTCTGAATAAGAAGAATGCGTTCTTTGTGAAAACCGCCGCTCCACTCTTCTAAAGTGGGACTAAGACATTGCTTGTGATGGTTCGTTCTCGATGAATGGATTCAAAATCAGCATGACGCTCATTCTCCCTCATATCCCTAGTCCAACGATCAAAGTGAATAAAGAACTCAAGGAGATTTTTATCCTTCTCGATATAATTGGCAAGTTGAGAGTTCAGTCCTTCACATCTTGATGTTGTACTCAAGCCTGCGAAGAACTTCGAAAGCAAATATGTAAACCCCCATTCATGTATTTTCTCAAATAAATTGGAGACCCAATTGTTGTGCTGAAGAGAGCATTCCTCAACCATTGATTTCCACTTTTCTTCGAATTCTGAAGGTTCCCAATCAGCTGACACAAAATGCTTCCATCGGGGCAAAAAAGTAGGATGATTCTTCACATTCCTGGTTATAGTTTTGTCTATATGCCAGGAACATAGACGATGTGTTGCATCGGGAAATACTTTATGAATAGCATTACGCATTGCTTTATCCCCATCTATAATAATAGTCTTGGGATCTACACCACCTAGCCTTCTCTTCAAAGCTCCCAACACCCAAATATAATTTTCCTCTCTCTCGTTAGCCAAGAAAGCACATGCAAATACACAAGTTTGCCAATGGTGGTTGTAACCTAAAAAGGTAAAAAATAAGTTAGATTATGTAAACTGCTAGGGTTATTTTAGCTTGCTCGGGATAATCGGCCCACAAGATGTTAATAAGCCGGTCGTCATCATCCTTCTTTAGTTCAATAACGAAATGATCGTCCGCGCCGCATTTAGCTTGCAGGTAGGCTAGGGCTGTTGCGGCATCACCTTCACTGATTTGTTCTTTCCTCTCTTTGTCCATGTAATTATATGCATCCTTCCTCGTGTACCCCAAATTGTCGTAGCCTCCTGCTTCTGATACGGCCAGATTCACAATTTGAGAAGTTTTCATACCTGCAGCTCTTCTAAAATTTATCGCTGCTTTGACTGCATCACTCATACGACGTTTCCCTTTCATGTAGTGTCTATATTCTCTGGGGATCGTTTCATGTGTGTGTCCATCATCAAACTGGTGCACATACCACTTCCCATCGACCTTGTTGTGTTTAACACGCATCTTGGCTCTGCAGTTAAATCAGGTCTACCCTCTTGCTTCTCTCTTTCGTTCTGTGCTTTTCATGCGCCTCTTTCCCTCGCCAGAGCATACATAGTCACGCCATATCATAACTTGGTTCTTATCACGACCAATGTCTGATTTTCTGATGTCAAAGCCTTTGACTAACCCGTAGTCCATGTAGAAATCATAGGTTTCTTCTGTATCATCGAACTTCATTTTTTTTAATATCTCTAGGCTGTCGAAATATGAGATCGGGGACATTATCTTCCTGGGTGGTGTGACTGGCTCCGCCACCATCGTTTTCTTGGACGGCTCCGACGTCAATAGTAGGACTGCCTCCAATGTCAATGGTGGGTCTGCCTCCGACGTCATTGTCACTGCGGGAAATTTTCAATATTGCAACGATGTAGATTACAAAACCCTACTGGGAATGATGGCCGAATTAATGCTTGAATGGGCCACTTAATAATTATCCCCATTAAACCGAATCATAGTGATTTCTTTACCATTTTCAGAAATAACGAAAATATTTAAAATGGCAAGGAATGCTAAAGTAAAGCCAAACGCCAACTGACTATATCTGTGTACTACCCATATTTACTATGAGCGAACATTTACTAATAGCACTCAATTTTTTATTCAATCAAAAAACAAAATATATTTTATTTTTAGGTTTAATAACTACCCATATTTATCCCAAGTTCATGTACCTTAGACTAAACCCTAACTATTTTTCCGCGGGAAAAATATGCCGCCACATTTTATCCTTGTAACCTTGTATATATAATTAATCTTCAGCGAAGGGCAGTGGTTCCATATCCTTCTTTGTCGCAATTTTGAGTACAGACTAAAGCTTAGAGGCACAACATGGAGAATAGGAGGATTACTCGCTCTTCGTCCAAGCTTGTGGTATGTCTAATAGCTCTTTAACCATTGAAATTCATTCTAGTTAATTTATTAATCATAGGTTCCCTGTCATTGAAGGAGACCGCCGAATTTGTGACTCCAACAAAGAAACCAAGGCTACCCAAAGGTGTAAGCACTCCATCCACTCCCGCTTCAGTCATCGTAATATTTCGGACGATGAATCTGACTCTGAGGTAACACCAAAGAAGCCAAATGGAAAAATTATTTCCCTAAGTTCTGTTGACAAGGTAATAAAGGTGTCCTATTTGCCATTGAAGTGTTCTTTGTCGTTATTCTGTCAGACATAACGAATGCATTTCGACTCGTGTTTATTTGTGAAACTTATTCCAGGTTGTTTTGAAGTTTAAGCTACCTATTGGTATGGAATACGATGATGAGCAAATCCAGTTTGCTCACTAAATATTTTTAGCCAATCTGCCACCTGACGAAGAATTGGTCAAAACCTCAAACAACTCTTGTACCAGAAAGTCATTGTGGTCCTTAAGCCCTTGCTCATTCGTAGATGCTGAAGTAATCAACGAAACTCCAAAATTTTGTTTTGTTTGCCACTATCAATGCTTTCGACGCAGAATTATTTTGTAACAAATCTATAGTATCATGAAGTGTTTTTTGTCCATGTTATATTAGGTTATAACAGCGGTGGCCTGTCACTTGACTCTAGAAGAGTTGTGGACAAATTCTAAGGACGGAAAAGGAGTGTGCTATCTGCCTGTTGAACTACAGGTTGTGATCCGATTATGCTTAAGATTAATTTCCTCTCACCAAAAAAATACAAAACATGTTTTTTTTAACGAGAATGATATTGTGTTGACAAAATTTCAATTGTGCAACTACCACATGGGCAGGAACTAGTGATTTCATGTGGAATAACACCCAAGAGGGCATTAGACCTGTACGAATCAAAATTCCTTAGTCGAACCAATATGGGGAACAAGGTAAATTGTTCGTCTTAATAAGTATTACATGGTTTGCAGTTTATTTTTTTAATACGTGTTTACAATTTCCGCATATGTAGGTGTGTGTTCCGATGAGAGATAATGCCCATTGGTACTTGGATGTCATTAAGTTAGACAAGGAAGAAGTCCATATCTTGGATCCACAACCAACTGAAGACTACAATTCCGTTCGACTACAATCTGTTCAAACAATGGTAAATTTGTGACATTGTGTCGTAATAACGCAAAAAAATGTAAATACCTCTTTCTAAATACAAACGTTTCTTAATTTGTACAGATGAGATTTATGCAAGCCTTATGGAAGATTCTCTATCGTGAACAAGGTCCGGGATTGTCGCCACCAAGGATTGCGGAGTTTTCGTACACAAATCCTTCAAAGGATCAAGAACAACTACATCGGTAAGTATGTCCATTTTGTGTGATATTAAACGAAGGCTTATCAACTTGTTTATCATGCAATGATTTCATTTTATGTAGGTCTAAAAGTGGAGTCTGAGTCTGCATGTGGATGTATGGCGCAAGCTGGGACTCCTCTTATATTTGGGTAAAGACAATTCTAGTTCGCACATTAGAAAACCACACTTGATTGTTATTTTTGAATCATGCGTTAAGCACCATGTTTGTTTATGTTGATAGCCATGCACTCAAGTGAGGAGGATGCAGATCGCTTTGTACCTTGTTCGAGAGCCCATGAACTACATAAGGCATATGGTGCTCACGGAAGCAAGAACAGTTGCACCTCAAAGTTGAAGCTGCAGTCGAAGAGTACAAGAAAGCCCATGAAAGGAGGAAAAAGGAAAGAGAAGAGCACAAGGAAAACCAGTCAAAGAGCCCAAGGACAACCTGATTTTGTGTTTTTTTTTTTCAAGATGATGGACAACCATGTTATGTTTTGTTTTTCAAGATGATGGACAACCATTTTTTATTTGGCTTGGTGAATGCTTTCTATATTTATTTTTTGGTTTGGTTTGGTTTGTTTTTTCGTGGAAACTATATTGATTAATAGGAGCTTTGGGTATCGCTTTATATATTGAATTTTCGGACAGCCATCCCTTCCGAATCGAGTCTCAAAGTATCTAGCTTTAACCTGGCTACTACCTTAGCCAACAAGTGGCAATTTCCAGCTTTCCAGTTACACTTTTGCACAACCTGAAAAGGGACCTTCTGGACTTGATCTCCAGCTCCCAAGTAATCCCTGTGTTCACAAATATCACAGGTTCAATAGAAATCAATAAAATCTCATTTTCATCGAGCCATGCGTGACGAATAGGCTTCCAAAGTGAGCTACCCAAAATGGCAAAGGGACTTGACAAAAATTCCAGCTTCCAACTTGTGAGTGAGGTTGCTTCTGTTTCAAGCCATTGTATCTTGTGGAGAGGTTTAATTGAGATCATATCATTCCACTTCGTTCCCAATTGCCCTCGTTTAATTAAATTTGCATTCATGTATAGTTAACCCAAAAAGTAAAACTTATTGGCTCCCAATCAGCAAAATTAATGACAAAAACCCGTACAAGGCAGTTAGAAAATTCTTAGGTAATTAATTTAATGTTCCTAGGATATGGAAAGGCTTCCATTCCTTGAATTTCCACCAAAGATGTATGCACTCCCCTTTTAGTGAAAGAATTCATTGTATTAATAAATACAATAAAAAGGCTTACATAATTAATAGATTCTTTATTATGTATAATTAAAAGGGTATTTTACTATAAACGAAGCATGATAGATTCACCGGAGGAATAAAAGAAGCACGAGTCTTGATGAAAAAGGGGAAAAAATCACCATAGATAAAAAAAAATCATTATAATCAAGCCATTTAAAATCCAGACTATTCACGCCTATCATCATCACTATACTTGTGACCAAATATAAATAAAACCATAATTTTCTAAAACCATTAAAAATTGAAGATGAAATAAGTAACACATTCTTCGACCTAATTGGAACTGCTTAGAACAAAAGCGGATTAAAATCTCTCCCAATGAAATTCATTTGCAATTTCATAGGTAGTCCTTACTTGCACTTCTATAATTTTGAGAAAACACCACTTCTCAACTTCATCCTCTCTACAACAATGAAATCCAAATGCAATTTCAATGAGTGGGACCAACATATTAATTTACCACTACTAAACAATTTATATATCATCTCCATCATCTAAAATCTTTAAAAAAGAGTAAAAAAGGGCCCACCAGCGGGTCCATTTGAATTGCAAGAATAATTGCACATTATGCAAATTTGCACCCTTGCAATAGCTTCTCACATCATAGCAATTTAAAGATGCAATTGCACCTCCTTGCTATATCATCTTGCAAGTCACAAAAATTGCACCATTGGAGATGACTATTACTGCATCTCGTCACCTGTCTTAGGGATCCTAGCCATGGCAAATTCAAAAAATAATGCATGCATAGAAAAATCCAGGTCTGGACATTTCAAATTTCAAAATAGGAAACTTTCCTAGTCAGATGATGTACTGGCTCCCCTTAGTACCTGACAGTTTTGAGTGCTGGAGAATAAGGAAAATACAAAAGACTGGAAAAAAAAACCCAACAAAGACTTAGAAAACTTGTTAACAGAAGACATCCATTGCTGGCCCCTTTGCTGCTCCATCGCTCCACCCCGCCCTGCATCAATCGACTCTCATGTAAGCCGAGGACGTTTGCTTGAGGAGGCCTCAGGGGTCTCTTGATGCTCCGTATGCCGATTCTCAATAAAAGTATTGGTCATTTCGGCTATACGGTACACCAGCAAATAAGTGCACTGGTCCTCCTTAACATAAACGCTCATATCCATCCCAACCCTTTCAAGAAAGGTGGTGACGAAGGTGGCATAAGGAAAGGCAGTATACCAAGTTTCCCCTTTGGGAGCAGCTTCAACCATGTTCAGGCACATTAGGGATGCGAGGTTAACAGGAACACCTCTTTGAGCTTGCACAAGGATAAACAAGTCAAGTTTACGAATAATGGAATGACCATGGTACCTTGGAAGGGAGCAGTTAACGATCAACCAGTGGAGGAATCGAAGAGGATCTAGGAGGAAAGAAGCCTGGACGCGCCCCTTCGTGAGTTTCGCCAGTTCAACTTCAAACTCAAAATCATACAGCCTCCCAAGATCGCTTCTGCTCTCAATGGGGTGTCCTCCAGCGGGAAGATCAAGGATCTCAGCAAATTGATGAGGCTGAAAGCAGACTCTATGTCCGAGGAAGATCGACACCAGATGAGAATCACAGGGACCAGAAAGCTGTAGATTGTGGTAAAACTTCCTCACCACATGGGGGCAGTAACTTGTGCTTCATCGACTCCAGAGAACAAATAAATTTTCCCTGCCAAGATTTTTTATTAACGTCTTCACTTCCGGAGGGAAAGGACTTAGGTGGATGACCTCGTACTCGGCGATAATGGCGGTTTTGCTTGTAAACGAAAGATAGTCACCGAGACTGGCGGTGGATTGGCAGTCTTCGTTTGATAGAGATAGTATCCCCATTTTCGTAAACGATCTACTTTCCTTTGCCATGGAGTCTGGAGGAAGAAGGAACAAGGGGAAGGTGAATATGGAGGAGAGAGAGAATGTAGGTGTAAGAAAAAGTGATAGTGGGGGTTGAGTCTGGAGACGTGAGTGTGATGGAGACGGTTGAGTCTGAAATGTCAAGAGTTAGAAGATTACGGAAGATATGTAATGATGATGGTAACTCGTGTAGGTTAAACTAGGGTAAGTCATGCTAGTTAAACTAGGGTTGGCGGACGAATTGATACGGCAGGAGAAATGAAATGGGCTCGCACGTTCCAGGCCCACTTTTGAATATTGCATGGATCATGTACAAGCCCACTTTTGAATGTTATTTAAAAGCCTTCAAAAATCAATGATCAGACCCAGTCCAACTAGAATTAGTCCTAAACGCACCGTTAATAGATAAACACAAATTAAGGAGACCTCTCCATCCGATTCGAATCAAATTCTGTCTTCTTCATCTCCTTCCTCAATCCTCTGGGCGAGACGAACACTACATATCAGGAAACCTTAATTTCACCGAGTGATAGAAGTTTTGAGAAAACGACAATAACGGTAAGACAAGATGACAAAGCACTAGCGACATGAACCCTAGGGTTAGCAAAATGAAAAGTTTGATGAACACAATAATAGACATCGCCGTAATCGTGTTAGAAAGAGATAGGCGAGGGGAAATAAAATGGCGAAGAACAAACAAGACAAAATAAATTGGGAATTCAAACTACGCCGAATGTGGATGCAAGGAATTGGGATTCAAAAAGATTATTAAGTTGGGGAGTTCAAATTGGATGGGGAGCTTCTCTTGGAACTGTGAAGGGGCGTCCCTCCAAGACGAGAGAGGGATCGTGTAATTGGTTAGGGAGACTGGAAATTGGTTAGGGCGCCAGTGGGTTTACCCAATTGGGTTTGCAGTCTTAATCCATTTAATTTAATCGGGGCAGTTAGTTGGACTAGGATGAAAACAATCTTAACGCATAATGAGGCTTTTTGTAATTTGTTTTGTTATTTAGTGGCGCAGTTAGGTTCAACAAACGTGAGCCGTGGAGATTGAGAATGAATGGTTAAGATCGGCCAAGGTACCCGTACCCTGGATTTTGCCCTGGGCACCGTAGAAGTCACCATACATACATATAAATATACATACATACATACATACATACATACATACATACATACATATATGTATGTATGTATGGCAAAGGCTAGCGTACGCCTGGACGTACCCTAGCCTACCGTACGCCCGTTGAGTTTTGCTATTTAGACAATGAATTAATCGGAGTTTGGGGCATGATACTATACCCCAAGCCTTAATGGGTGAACCCCAGTCCGCAATTCACTAACCCAAAGCATAATATTCATATATATATGTGTGTGTGTTTGGGGCAGGGGCAAGGGCGGAGCTAGGATTTCGAGATCGGTGGGGCTGAAAACAATTTTTGTAAAAATATATAATATTTTATAATTAGTTTAGAAGTCCACGAAATTGGGCTTGGAATTAAATAGATTTGTAGGTGGAAATTAAATGGGATATATATATATATATAAAAACCATACAAAAATCTCTCATTTAATTTCCTGCTACAAACCTATTTAATTCGTGGACTTCTAAACTAATTATAAAATATTATATATTACAAAAAATATTTTTAGCCCCACCGATCTCGAAATCCTAGCTCCGCCTCTGCCCCGAACACACACATATATATTATAGCAGGAAATTAAATGAGAGATTTTTGTATGGTTTAGGAAATGCAAAATGATATTGTAGTTGGGAATTGAACCCATGTGTGTACTTTAAGAGACAAGTCAAGCATGGTTATCATTAGACCACATGACTATTACTTGATATATTTATAGAACAAGCTCTACTTATAAAATTTGTACTCAATATCCTTAAATAGATGTCTCCAATCACTATGCTTTTATTATATCCTTTTTGCCACATATTTCTTTCTTATCGGTGGATAAGAGGAATGAGTTTATGGTTCATTTGTTAGGTCCCATAGCAATGGTAGTTGCAGGATGAGTATCGTGCACTGAATCCCACAGATTCAATGATATTCCAAATACATTAAACATAGTACGATAAATTCAAACAATCAGAATATATATAAGCAAACTTTATATAATATGAGAAACCTCTAGAGCTCGCCAACCTACACAACTAATGAATTAGCTGCTCATTAGATAGAATCTAAAGATTACATAAGTCAAATTGACGAGGTATCTTAGATACTGAAAGAACAACCAAATAGGGAAATGGCGCACAAGGCACCATTATAATCGCCAATTTACCCTTGACCCTACTGATCACATTCTCGAACCGATGAGGTGCTTTGTCGGTGAAGTAACCCTTTGTAGGAATTGCCTCACGAATGGTGGCCGAGAGGGTTTATCCTCTTCCATAAGGTTTTCATAGATATTTAGTAGGAGGAAAGTCTTCTGGCCAAATCTCTTTATCATATCTCTAGTTTAGCCTCTAAGGAATATTGTTGCAAATTAAATCAAGGTTGATTTGGGTCCTCCGAAAAATGCGTCCGAGCCAGAGATGTGGTAGGCTAAATGTGCTTCCATTTTGTACACTTGGCTTCGAGATCCGTTTTTTACTTTCAGTAGTCGGACCTTGATGTGTCTAGCTCATACAAGGTATCGGCTATGATATTTTGGAATGAAAACGGATGAAAAACTACCCAAAAGGAATAAGTAGGATAAAAGTAATCCTAGGAACTACTAAACACACTTACGATTCTTAAGCAATCCCAATGCATCGTGAAAAAATAAAGATAGGGAAAATATATAACCATTTTATAAAATATGGACATAAAATATTAACTCAACAAGACTATATTAGTTCTAATTCCGAAAGTTAAAAGGCTAGAGGAAGAAAATGACTATTGACCGATCAATTTATGTTATCTACAAATTGATCTCAGAAGTCCTAGCGAATATCTAAATTAGGACTATCACCCTAATTTAGATATACTGAAGGCTAGTGTGGGTTACATATGGTGAAGCTTGATGAGAGATAAAGACTTGTTGCAAGATGGTTTTAAGATGGAGGGTTGGGAACAGGGAGCAAATTAAGGTATGGAAGGATAAATTACATCCAATTTTGGACCATATATTCAATTTCAAAGTACAGATACAGATATATGAGGTATAAGATTTAATAAACAAGGAAAAAAGTTCATGGGACAGGGGGGCTATAAGCATGTTGTTCTCGGAGGAAGACCATATAAAGATTGAGAGAATCCCTCTATGTGATCCGTGTACTAAATGTTGGGTGAAGCTGTGTCCACTGGCGTCGTTCATTTAAGGAAAGAAAGAAGCTCACCGAGCTCTATCTAAAAGGGGAAGGCATTGCTGGCTCGAGTGATCAAAGGAAATCAAGCAGGGGATTGATTCTTCAAATCTGGATGCAACGGGTGGGAATGATAAATATATATAGGAAGAGAGCTTTGAGAAGAAGTGACATCCTTTTCGAGCGATTTTCAAAAACAGAGACAAGAGTGTTGACTGAGTTTTGAAAGGAAAAGGAGGCTAGGCTGTCGGGGAGACAGGTTGAGTGATTTGAGATTTGAATTCAGGCAGGGAGCTGAATTCAGATCAGGAAGTCTGATCCAGTGACGGGGAGTCACCTCGAGATTGATTGTAAACTGTAATCCGAAATTCTACCATCCAAGTGGAACGTAAAATGACTCAAATCAGAGTTCCTTTGACCGTGGATTAGTCGGTACTGAATTCATCAGTACCGGATACCACGTAAAAATCGTGTCTGTGTTTTAATTGTGTTTATTGTGATTCATTATATTTCCAGATTGGTTCTGAGTTCTTGTTACAGTGCAAAGCAGAGTCTTGTGCAGGACAAGGTCTGATCGGTTTGCTCAAAGGAAGGAAAGGGAAACAGAGTCTTTGAAACACAACGTTTCAAGTAGTTAACTTGGGCCAACTACACTATCAATCGAATAAGAAAGTTCCCAGCCCAACTCACTTCTGGGTTAGACTCAAACCACGTTGTCGTTTTGATCACCACGAAAGGGGAGTCTTCTTAACCCTTCCATCGATTAATCTTTCTGTTTATCCCACTCTCTTCACTTGCTCTTGTCAAACCGAAATTAGGGTTCTGCAGAAATCTGGTCGATCGAACAAAGAAGAGGGAACTAGCTACTGAGTCTCGCGCTCGACTCCACCAACACTAAAGACCAGAGAATATGGTATCCTAATAAGAAGGGTGAGTATACAGTCAAATCTGGATATGCGCTTTATTGGAAAAGAGGGGGGTGTAAGTGCTATATATGCAAAGATTATGGCCTAAGATATGGAAGTTAAGATTTCAGCCAAAAATTAAACATTTTTTTTCTTCTGGAGGATCAATATGAATGCATTACATACGGGGAGTTATAGGGGTGAAAGCTTGTCCCGGAAGACCCACTGACCCGTCCCGACCCGTCTCGTCCCTAAGGGTCGGGACGGGTCAGTTTGTCTATAGGGACAGATTAGGGACGAGTCATTTGTTGGCCCTGCAAGGGTCGGGACAACTTAGCGACGGGTCACGTTTTGACCCTGTGACCCTTAGCAACAACAAATTTGTAAAGTTTTAAAAGTTTAGGTACTAATTTGTAAAAATAAAAAAATTTGGGTACCAAAACGTAATTTTACCATCAAAATTTATATTTATGGACTTATTTGTAAAAAATAAGATTTAGGTACTAAATTGTAAGAAAAAATAATTTTGTGTACCAAAACGTAATTTGTAAAAAAGTAGTGTGTTGATTAGGGTCGACCCACTGACCCGGCCCGTCCCGTCCCGTCCCAACCCTTGAGGGTCAGACAGGGTCAAGAAGGAGACAGGGACGGGACGGTTATACATCTTGACCCTTCAGGGACGGGTCAGACAGGGACAGGGACGGGACATGCAAATTTTCAGCCCTAGGGAGTTAGATGGTTGATAACTCAAGAAAGGCAGGACCCTAATGATGTGGCACATGGGTCTACCCGGTGTTATGGGATGGAAGGCCTCTTGTAGGTTTGATAAAGATGCTATCCAAAGATTGTCAAACGGCATCATGATTTCATGTGATCTTTTTTAGTATCATAATAAAGCTCACACAAGTTCGGGGTTCCCATAAAAAAAGTTGTACTACCTGGGGTGGACAATGGGCGGGTTGGGTGGGTTCTGGTTTTAAATTGACCCACCCTCTTACTAGCGAGTTGGTATAATTGTGATCCGCTATCTATCTGCATTCTTCTACGGATGGGTGCGATTGGGTTGTGGGTTAACCCGCAACTTAAGAAAGTTTACTAACAATTATCATAAGTTTTTTTTTTAATTTGTAAGATTGTATCATTACACCTCCCACTTTGTCTCAAGTGAATCCACGTAGTATTTCTATCAAAATGTTCAATACTCTATCAACCAATTATGTAAAGAAATTGACAAATCTGATGCATTTTGCGACTTTGATAAAATTAATACTTTATAGTTTGCATTTAATATCTAATTGATACAATACCGAATAATAGTAGTCCAAAATATTCTTCATTCTCCAGTTTTAGCAGTAGATGGTCAGTGTGTAGTATAGTTGGGAAATGTGATGAATATTCGATACCATAAGAAACAACATTTTGTCATGTGAAAATATAGTGCGGGTCATTCGGGTGACCCGCAATCTACCCACCACCCACTCACAAAAGTGCAGGTATGAAATTTATCAATCCATAATGTACCCACATGAATCACACACTACTTGCGGTTCCGGTTATTTGCAGGTGGATCGCTATCAACCCGCAGATAAACCACCCACGTGCTTACCCCTAGCCCTAGTACTTGGGCGTTGGGCCGTGCTTGTGCCTGCACGACACGGGCACGCTTCAAGCCCATTTATTTTGTGTCGTGCTTGGCACGGCCCGTCAGTTTTCGTGTCGTGCCGTGCAAGCCCATTTATTAACATTGCTAGGCCTTGCAAGCCCGTGCACGGTTCAAATCGTGTCGTGACTATTCGTGTTCGTGTCGTGCCCGTATTCATGTTTAATGAAAAGTAAGATAATAAAAGAGAAAATGAAAAAGAAGGAGAAAATTGGGTGGAGAAAGATAATATTAACCGAGAATGTTTGAGAAAACTGAAAAGTACAAATAATATGAAATAGAAAATTGGAATTATAGCGGGTGTGATTTGGTTTTATTTAATTCTTTATCCGTTTTTACTTAAGGTAGTAATTAGTATATATCTTTAAGACACTTCTAAAAACAACAAATAATTATTTTTTTACTTGTATTTTGTAATATTTGAACCTATAGTTCTTTCTATATTTGTTTTCTATCAAATAAATATTATTTTCGTGGAATGTCTGTTCTGATACTTAATAAAGTCTCGAAAACATTAGGCCAGACACGACACACTTATACACCGTGTCGTGCCTGTGCCCATGAAATTTAAGCCCGACAGGGCACATAAATTATCCGTACTCGTGCCAGGCTGGCCCATATATTTCGTACCCGTGCTCGTCCCGTGTCGTGCTAGTTCGTGGGCGGCTCGGCCTGTCCCGATGCTATGTACACCTAGTACTACCACTAAAAATCTAAAATGACTATTTTTTTGGTAGTATAAAATCAAAATGACTAATCTATGGGTAAAAGGCATGGTTGTCAACCGGCCGGGTGACCCGGACCCGATCGAGCTAGTGGGTCAAGCCCATTTATTAACATTGCTAGGCCTTGCAAGCCCGTGCACGGTTCAAATCGTGTCGTGACTATTCGTGTTCGTGTCGTGCCCGTATTCATGTTTAATGAAAAGTAAGATAATAAAAGAGAAAATGAAAAAGAAGGAGAAAATTGGGTGGAGAAAGATAATATTAACCGAGAATGTTTGAGAAAACTGAAAAGTACAAATAATATGAAATAGAAAATTGGAAGTATAGCGGGTGTGATTTGGTTTTATTTAATTCTTTATCCGTTTTTACTTAAGGTAGTAATTACGTATATATCTTTAAGACACTTCTAAAAACAACAAATAATTATTTTTTTACTTGTATTTTGTAATATTTGAACCTATAGTTCTTTCTATATTTATTTTCTATCAAATAAATATTATTTTCGTGGAATGTTTGTTCTGATACTTAATAAAGTCTCGAAAACATTAGGCCAGACACGACACACTTATACACCGTGTCGTGCCTGTGCCCATGAAATTTAGGCCCGACAGGGCACATAAATTATCCGTACTCGTGCCAGGCTGGCCCATATATTTCGTACCCGTGCTCGTCCCGTGTCGTGCTAGTTCGTGGGCGGCTCGGCCTGTCCCGATGCTATGTACACCTAGTACTACCACTAAAAATCTAAAATGACTATTTTTTTGGTAGTATAAAATCAAAATGACTAATCTATGGGTAAAAGGCATGGTTGTCAACCCGTCGGGTGACCCGGACCCGATCGAGCTAGTGGGTCAAGGGTTAACGGATCACTCATTTTAGCCCGGAAATATGAAAATAGTTATTATATTGTACTTATCCTGATAAATTATATCAAATCTCATCTAACATATGAGTAATAACATATAACATTATACCAAAGTAACATGTCGTACTTAGATCCAACATATAATAAAAATTCACACACACTTATATAACATCAATATTCAAATGTTCAACTAAGGAATCCAAAGATTGAGTTAGGCGAAAGCAAAATTGGAAAATAGGCGCATTTCGCAAACCAAAGAAAAAATGACACAGTTTGACCTCCAACCCTGTACCTTATAGTGGTCGACCCAACGGGTGCGTGCAACCTGTTTTTCTCACCGAGTCACGGTCAAAATGGGTCGACACGGGGATTGACAACCTTGGCAGATAGATTCGTCAAATTTTATACCGCGAACCACAACAAATTTATTGTCAAAAAAAAAAAAAAAAATCCATAACAAATTGGATCTACACGAGATGGGCTTGAATCTTGCAAGCCTTCGGCCCAGGCCTCAATTTTGAGGGCCTAACTATGCGAATCTTGTCCCTTAACCCTCCAATTGTGCCGTATCTCACCGCTTCCCGCGGGTACCTAAATTAGGGTTGTGGAGCCACCGCACGGAAATCGAACTCTAACTCAAAGAGTTCCAAAGCTTTTGCCTCCTCTTCCTGTCGTCCTTTGCTCTGGTTATTTGTCCGACCTCGAGTTCTTTCATCGGTCTAACGCATCCATCGTTCGCCTCCGATCGCACAGGAAAATGGGCGCAAAGGCTAAGAAAGCTCTGAAAACTAAGCTGAAGAAGGTCGCTGCTGCATCCCAAGCCGCTGAGAAGAAAGCAGCAGCAACTACTGCCGATTTCCTGGTAGGGTTCTCGTCTCGAGTTCAATTTTCTTCCAAAATGTGAACTGCTTGCTCGTTTTCTGATGACTGTTCGGTCGTATGTCTCTCTCCAAGCCATTGGAAGGTGGAAAAGAGCGAAAGATACCGGAAGGGAAGCAGGCGGAAGGAAGTACTGCCAAGGCTACCGTATTGTACATTGGTCGGATTCCTCATGGTTTCTATGAGAGCGAAATGGAAGGTGGAAGAAGCTCTATGAGAATTTGAATGACGGCTTTTTTTTAGTCTCCGTGAGCTAAAACTGTTACTTGCTTGTTTTTCTGGCAGCTTACTTTTCACAATTTGGGAAGATTAAGAGATTGAGAGTTGCCCGGAACAGAAAGGTTTGGTCTCGAACTGTTTTTGTTTATTGTTTTTGTGCCTGGTGACTTGTTGTATAGGTGATTTATGTGTTTCAGAACCTTAGTCTCTGAGGAATTTTCGTACTCTAAAAAGCTCATTTCCGAATGGAACTGTGCATAGTTTTTCTGTATAGTTAGTAATGGATAACTGACCTGACCTTTTGCTTTACAGACTGGAAAATCCAAGCACTATGGATTCCTTCAATTTGAAGATCCTGAGGTTGGATTCTCTTCTCTTGTGAACTAGTACCAGAGTGCTTGTATGAAGTGGCCTTTGTTGCATTATCTGACGATGGTTCGGTTGCAGGTAGCGGCAATTGTAGCGGATTGCATGCATAATTATCTTCTGTTTGAGCATCTTGTGCAAGTCCACCTTATCCCACAGGAGCAAGTTCATCCGAAATTGTAAACCCCATGTCTACTCTAGGAATGTAATGTTTTATTAGTTTGTAGTTCAGTCAGATAGCTTGCTGACTCTTTACATGTTTTCTTTCTTCTGCTGCAGGTGGAGGGGTTACTTTAAATACCGACCAGTGGACCGGGTACTGATTCAACGTAAGAGGCAGAACAAGGTAACTATGGGATACCGTTTGATACCAAGTTTCTTGTGATTCATTGAGAGCACTAATGTTCCTTTTTATTTAAAGGAATTTAAGATGATAATTCTCAAGTCTGCATTCTGATGTGTCATTGCAGGAGAGAACTCTCGATGAGCACAAAAAATTGGTGCAAAAGATTACAAAGCAGAGTAAGAAGCGTCAAAGAACCATAGAAGCCGCTGGGCTTGATTATGTCTGCCCTGAAATTGTAAGAATCTTGTTTCCTCGTGGTATTATTTCTGAAAATAGTCTATTGTTGTATGCTCGCCATCCCAACATGTGAAGTGAGTAATTCTCTGGTCATACTACATGTTCTGATGCATCTTGATATCTTTCTTTGACTGATTATGTGATGCCATTCATTGCATGGTTAGTTGAAGATCTTACTGCCTGGAAAGCTTTGGCTGGAATATATCATATGACATGAGCGTGAACCATTTATGAGGGCGAAAACATCATATTCAGAACAGCTTGGACTTTAGGAACTCTGATATGAATGGAATAATTTATGAATCTGAAATAGGTTGTCTTAGACCGTAACTAACCGATGGTAATAAAATCAGTGACAGCCTCTGCCATTGGTTGATCATCTGTTTGCGTAGCAAGTTAGAAACGCGTTCTGAACCCAATTTTTGCAGGTAGGTGAAGTGTTAAAGGCTCCAAAGAAGATCAAGTTTGCTGAAGACTAGGCCCTTTCCAGAACTTCAGAAGGTGTGTTGCCGAGGTTTCCTGCCGGAGAATGAGAGTTCAGAACAAAGTGCTGGTGTATTTCTGAAGTAGGGTTGAGCTAATCTTGACAGTGGCAATTACGGAGGTTGATACAGAAAGAAGATAAACGGAGCTCCTCAAAAGGCTAGTTGTTTTTGTAAGATTTGTTCGCTGCTTTTCAAGAAGACGATTAAAAGTGCAATATGGTATTTTTGACTGCTCGTATTTCGTGCTAATGAAATTTGAATGCCCTTGCCTCTTCTAGTGAGCATATATCAGTATGCTGTTGGTGTCATTCTATTTTGTGCACTCTGGTAGCTGAACGAAATAGCACAACCAAAATCGTCCTTCTATAATGTGTCCATAGATAAATTGGTTTGGTTAGTTGTCAGTATGCATTCATATATATATTCTTATTCTTATATAAAAGGCTTGGTTAAGCATCTACTATTCATCAAGAGGTTTTTTGGTAATTTTATGAAAATTTAAGGTCAATTCTTAAAAAAGTGACATATGGCAACCTTTAGACATATGTACTTTTTAACTTATGTTCTTCATATTTCATTTCTCTTCCTATTTCGTATATTTTTGTTTGTTCTTAAATTGATTTGGTGTTCGTATTTGATTTTGTATGCTTACTTATCTTTTCAGGTCAAGATATGCTTTCGTATTTGATTTTGCATTTTTAATCATCTCTTCCGCTCGAGGTCGTATATGATGCTAACGATAAAAATCTCTTACTCCCAATCAATCAAGAAGAACAAAAATTATATGCATAATTTTCAATTATTTTGTCATTTTTCCTTCATTTGCAAGTAGACACATATTTATCCATTTTTTCCCCTTCTTCCATTTCTTTTAATCACATATAGCCTATAAAAACCTTTTAGCAATCCTTCCATTTCTTTTAATCACATATAGCCTATAAAAACCTTTTAGCAATCCTCTTTTTTTTTCTTTTGTTTTTGCTATCCTTGAATCAAAATCTTTGTTCGTAATTGGCACATATTTTGGTGATGTGTTTTCATTTTTTAATTCTTATTTATTAACATTTTTCTTATTTTTTTACTACTCAACTAAAGTCGACCACACGTATTTGGATCACGTTTATATTGGTGAAGCATTTTCCAATTTCTAATTCTTATAGATGGACAATCTTTTTGAGTTTTCCGTCTATTCAACTAGAGGTCGACTGATCACGCGTGTTTCAAAGACGTGTGTCGCGACGATCCATTTTCCATTTGTGAATTCTTATCGATAAGAAAAAGAGGACCACGTTAATTGATTTCAACTAGAAGTTTGTATTAGGTTTTGCCCCATTATTTATCTCGTTAGCGATTTGTTAGATCTGAGGACACCCGCAAGATGGGACAACGAAGTCACTATAGTAGTACTCATCGAAGAACAAGAGAATCACATTTGTTCGTTGTTCCCCAATCGGTTCCTGTTCATTGGCCAACGAGTCCATTTTTGTAATTGTTTGCTTCACCTTATTGCTAAATATGTTTGCTCGATTTTTATTTAGTTGATTAGACGTCTCTATTTACCAAATGAGAGCTAGTTCTGCATTTTTTTGGATTTGTGTTATTTACAGGTTAATGTATGCTCCACATGTGACCTTTCACATCACTCGCTTTCCGTGAAGCGCAGCGAGCGGGTATATGTAGTATTTTTTATAACACGAGAATTATTCATCATTAGCATTCGTTCATCGTTATGGATTGGAATCGGTACTAGTATGGGTATGAGTTATCGCGATAGGCCTCTATTTGCACACCTCTACCCTGCTGTAATGAGAAGGAAAGGGAAATATGGTAGATATTAGCCATGAATCAAGACGTGATCAATCTCCGGTCCAGGGAAACTGCCACCATTAGAGTGGTTCGCCGGTAATCCAGCGTCGAAACATGGCGAAACATTCAGGGGGCTTGTATTCAGGTACCGTGTGGCCTGCACCCTGCCAAATTGATGAATGATTGGTAGAGTGATTGCTTCAACTTATGGCTAGAATTGAAGGAGGCAAAATCACCGAGCTTTACCTTGACGGTTGCAAACGTCATGAGATTGAAGTATCTTGGATCAGAGTAAGTCCTAGTTAGATGCAAGAAAGACGTTACAAATTACAATGATAATGAGAGGAAGAGAACATCTCTTACCCAGCAACCTGGTTGTTGAGCAACCAATGTCTCCATTCCTCGACTATCCTGAAATTCAGACTTCGTATCCACTCCAGGGTCCCAACGTACAACACAATCATATCATGATCCCCACTGTTTCCAACCAGAACAACAAGCTCCGTCGGTATCATTCACGATGATGATGATATCGAGAGCAAGAAGAAACTATAGCCAGGTTTCGAACCTGTAGATTAAGGAGCGGTTGCCCTTTCTAGCCAGCTGCAGATGGAACTCGATGCTGCTAGGGATATCATACGTGTAATGCAACCTTGAACTGCAACTCTCCCACGTCCCTATTGTCCCCTGCACTCCCACAAAAACCACCAGTCTGAGTAAAGATCTTTAGGACGAGGATTTCTAGTCCAGAGTAATGATCGCAGAAGAGATTGTTCTGGATCACACACCTTCCTAACGTGGAGAGCACTCTGGACGGCTTCATCATTGGCCTAGTACTTTGACAGTAGATATGCAAAAGTCTGCACGGAAAACATAAACCCAAGAACAATTTTTTAGCCGCAACAAACGAAAAAGAAGCAGGTGAAGTGAAGTTTAAAAGAGTGTTTCATTCTAACAAAAAAAAAAAAAGAGTGTTTCACATACAGGACAGCCAAGTGTGGGAAGTGGCTCTGTCTCCAGTTCCAACAACTCCTCAAGAGACCTTGATGTTCTTCGTGCCATCATCGTCGGCCTGGGTGAAGCGTAAGCGCAATGGGGTGACAGGATCTGCGCTTGTTGGAGTCCTGATATGCACTGAACAATTAAAACTGAAAACTTGCCAGGTTCAGACAGAGGGAAAAACAAACAATGGATCCGATGGAACCTCGTGGAGCTCATCCGGAATCAAGGCCATTCCATGAGCAAATTTGATCTTGGAGTTATGTTCGATGGTTGCATTTGTCACACCGTTACCAACCAAATAACCCATAAGATTGATCGCTGGTTTCATTCCTTGTTCATTCTCTGATTATTTCCAAAACGTTAGAGACGGTTAAGTTTGCAGCTACACATAGGAAACTCGATCTTTAACAGTGCATTGAGCCAGTTAAGTGTGTAGTGTAACTACACGTCTTTACCATTGGCGAATCGAAGAGCTACGCCAGGGATCAGAATGCCAGCGTAGGAGTCCCCACCGATGCACACCGAGTTCGACTTGAACTCTTCATGATCATTCAGCCACTGCATTTATAGTTACTAATTAACCGGACTTGTAATGATTATGGGAATAAGTTAAGCAGAAACAACGTTGAACATTGATGGAAGTACAAGTACTGAACTAACTCATTCTTGTATATACCTTGCTGAGAAATTCTACAGCTTTGGTCGATTTCCGTGCTGTCACTCGACAGAGTGGCAGCCTCAGTTCTTGCATAGGAGAATCCAGTTAAGACAGGATGAACCACGAAAACGATACTCGCGACCTGTGTCCATGAGTGGGGATTAAAATTTAAGGATCAAGGAGGGCAAACTCCCATTGTATTCCTCCAGCCGGAAATGGACAGGGCCTAATGACACCCAGACAAGGCAGAGCAGCCAGGGCCGCCGGTGAGCCACAGCACAAAAGGGTCCGTTTCAGGTTTCCCCTGCGAATTGACGAAGTAGTAGAAGAGCTGCACATCCTCCGATTCTCCCACGCCCACATACCTTAAAAAGAAGGAAGTTAGTTCATCAGGTAAAAAAAAAGAAGCCAAAAATGTGCCCTCTTCTGCTTTACATAGTATGTGGTAGCAAGGCAGCGGGCCGTCGAAGCCTTTGCACAGGTTGAACATACCATCACTTTGCTAAACAAATGGCTGAAAATGGGGTCGTCATGAGGATTTGAAACCATGACCTTTCGGTTCAAGGCTCTAATACCATGTTAGCAAACTAACCACTTGGCCCCAATAACTCAAGTTGTTGGGAAAGGGATAGTTAAGCCTTTTAACCTCTTATACCCCCCTCAAACGAAAGCCTACCTTTGTCTGGGTTTTTTTATACGGTTTACACAGGTTGAACGTATCATTCCTTTTGCTGCCAAACCTATTAGGCTTTCAGTTTGTACATGTTGGACATACCATTCCTTGTAATAAACCATTGTTTGCTTAAATTGGAGGTTGTCATGAGGATTCGAAACCATGACCTTTCGGTTTTAGACTCTAAAGCCATGGGAGGAGGAAGCAACAACAACTTAGTAGGACGGAGATGCGGAGAAGGATAAATGTGCGGCACAGGGGTGATGATTGTCTCATGGTTTGACCATTTGGGTACGTTCGCGAGTCCAAAGCTTGTCGCTTTTTATCATCACCACCAGTTCAAGTTCACCACCAAGCAGTGGTGGATACATGGATGTTAAAGGAGTGTTTCCGGACATCCTAAAATTTGGAAATACAGATTATTCAATTTATGACAATAGTCTGCGTATGAGAAAAAAATGTTTAAGTGGTAGTGGGACACATTTAAAATTGGGAAACTGATTATCCAACATCCCGTAGTAGTTTGCGTATTGGTACAAACAATATTTAAGTAGTAGTTTATGTGATTTAAATTTGGGACACTGCCACTATTAGTTATTCAATTCCGCTACAACTCATTTGTTATTGTGTTTTAGATCCAAATATAATAGTAAAATGTTATTCTTATCTCGAATTATTTTCAAAACCTAAAGATTAAACTCAATTACGGGATACCCTTGTCTAGTAGGATATGTCGAGAGATATTTGTTGAGCAGTATTTAAAGTACCTTTTATTAGTTAGATATTTTCATATTTAATAATTATTTAATTTAATTCTAATATTTATTTTAATTTAATATTTTATAGGTAACCTACGTAGAATTCCTGGATTCGCCACTGCCACCAAATCTAAATAAATGAAGCACATGTTTCTTACGTATTGGAGATAAAGATTGTGGCCAGTCCAGCCGACAACTCAAATTCGCGCACAATTATTATTATTATTAGTTATTAGAATTAGTAAACCACAATCATGGGCATGGCAAGACCATATATGGTCTTTGGATTTTAAGGGTGCTTGCTAAGATGGGTTGTCTTGAGGAGCAGAGGAGAAGGAAGGGATAATTGAAGTGGTGACATCTGTTTTCATCTGTGCTCAAAGTTATCCCATGTGTCCAGGGACAGGTTACGGTGAGTAGTAATCACCGTGGTTACTAAGGGTAAATTGGGTATGAAAAAATAAATTGTATTAATTAATTTTTTTAATAAATTTTATTTTAGGTAGTTACAAAAATCTATTAATTACAATTCTCTCTCTTTCTCTCACTTTCGTAATCTTCAGCCAGATCCCCTTCCTAATTTTTCTCAATCTATCTGCAAAATAAAAAAAAACACGAAATCACTACCAATCCATTAGACAACCACTACCACTTTGAAAAACATCAATACCATTGCAGAAGTAAATCTATACCATTATGCCAAAACTACCAATATAAAAAATCTACCAATATAAATCTATACCATTTCACTAAAAATCAATACCATTGCAGAAGAAAAAACAAGAAACCAATACCAAAACGTTAACAACTACCACTGCAGCCTACACGAAACACTACCACTACCACTTGTTAACAACTACCATTGCAGATTATAACAATACCATTACATGATAATCAATATGCGAAAAAAGAATACCAATGCGGAAAAACACTACCATTATGGGAAAAACACTACCAATGCAAAAAAAGTACATACCAATAAAAAACCAGAAAATTTTCTTTTTCCCAGCCGTCGTTTTTGTCTTGCTAAAGAAGAACAGAAGTAAGGAGAGAGAGAGAGAAAAAGAGAGAGAGAGAGAGAGAGAGAGAGAGAGAGAGAGAGAGAGAGAGAGAAGGGAATTGGGTATTACCCTTTAGGTATACAGGAGAGGGGAGTTGGGTATTCAGCCGTCTCCTGCAGAGGAAGAATGGATGGAAGAGAGAGAGAGGATTGGGAGGAATGGTCGGCGAAGGGAGGTGGGCGGAGGGGAGAGAGGGCAGCGGAGGAGAGTGGGATGCAGTGCGGGCGGCCGGCATCGATGAAGTACGGTTTGGCTGGAGGAAGGGTGGTGTAGAATTAGGGTTTGGGTAGAATATATAAAATAATCAGGTGTGGACTCTTTTTTGTTTCCAAAACTACCCTGAAATAAAATTAACCGTAAGATTAGAAAAAGAGAAAAACAAAATAAATGAACGGCAGATAATGATGTAGCCACGGTGGCAACTAAAATTTTAGTTCCCCTAACGCATTCCCATGTGTCCAATATGCAAATCATTGAACTGTGTAAAAAAAAGGGAAGACAAATTATCACTAATAATAAAACTAAGCAGCAATGTGATTTCGTTTCATGGCTATTTTGCTTTGAATAGCAATTGCCCATGTCTACTAATCTGATCCATTTCGTTATCATTTTTCATTTTTTAAACATCTCACTGTCAAACCAAACTAAATGGACAGCCCTAGGAAGTTCTAACTATAGGTGTCAATCGGGCGGGTTCGGGTCGGGTTCAGTTGGGTCGCGGGTTAATCGGGTTGTGGGTCAAACGGATTGCGGGTCAAGCGGGTTCGGGTTGATTGGGTTGCGGTTTGATCGGGTTGCGGGTTGATCGGGTTCGGGTTGATTGGGTTGCGGATCATCGGGTTACGGGTTGATCGGGTTGCGGATCAATCGGGTTCGGGTTGATCGGATTGCGGGTTACAATAGGTCGGGTTGCGGGTTGTTCGGTCCACACCATCGAGTTTTTTTTTATAATTAGTTATTACACTATTTTTTTTTAGGGAGTTATTACACTAATTTAAAACAAACTCACCGATCACCATATTGCATTGAATAAAACATGAATGTACATTATTAAACAAATGAATGACTAGATTTTGCTCGAATATATCATAAACAAGTTTGATGTTGCTAATTGTTGGTACCTTGTAGAGGATTCATTAAGGTTACAGAACCAACATAAATAAATAGTTGAACAACAAAAATTAAAAAGCTGACAACTTGTTTGATCATAAACCTATGAAACCATCTCTTGAGTCTTGATAGTTGAGAGTTGAGACTGTACATTGGCGTTGGGCCGTGCTTGGGCCGGCACGGCACGAGCCCATCTCGTGCCCATATTTTTCGTGTCGTGCTAGGCACAGCCCATTAAATTTTGTGTCGTGCTATACAAGCCCATTTAACAGTTTTATTAGGCCCGGTCCGGGCCCAAGCACGAGTCAAGCCGTGCCGTGCCTGATCATGTCTATGTCGTGCTTTTATTTTATTCACATTCATGCTTATTCGTGCTTTCTAGTATAATTTACCTTTCATTCTTATTTTATATGGTAACACACGCTTTTAATGTTCCTTACTCAACTTCATCTACAAATTATTACCATTTTCATTTTTTTTCTCAACACAATATTCTGAACTATAAGGCGGCAAGTCGGCAACACTTGCTCCTAGCCAAAATGTCATTGATCTCCAAAACATTCAAATGAAATGTCATTTCAAAGTTCAAACTAAATGGAAATTTTTTGGGGGTAAAGTGTGGGATTAGAATTTGTGGAAGGTGGGAAAACGGTGGCGTGCAGTACTAGTGAAGTGACTAGTGAGTAGAGTTGGAACAAGTGGGTTGGGGGAGTTGGGGAAAAAATAAATATAGGGAAGAAAAAGAATTCAAAAACGAAAAAATATATTTATAATGCAATGGAGTATATTTTTACTACTATATAATAAATGCAATTTTTTATTACAATAATCTGAATAATGAAATAGATTATACCATTCATAATATAATAATTGTTTCTTACAACAAAATTACAATTCTAAAATGGAAAAACTTATGATTCACTTCAACTACAATCGTTGGTATCTTCTTCTCTATCTTCACTATAATCCACATATTGTTCTCTAAGTAATGCTCTAACCCAATCTTAATCAATTGGCACATTTCTACGTTTTCCTCCGTGATGCGTGATCTCCTATCATCGAGAGTTCTTCCACTTGAACTAAAAGCTTCTTTGGCGGTTAAAAATGATTGTTTCCTCAAATATTTGGGGTTTATAAAATCAAATTAAGATGTACATTTGAATATGATATATTTAAGATGTACATTCACAAGTTAAATTAATTGTTAAAATCAAATTAATTCATAAACTATAAAAAAACAAAATATCTATCACAAAGCATAACCATGAAGAAACCCTAAACCCTAACCCTATAACACCATTTTAAATTTGAAACCTAAAACTAATCTTAACCATCAACCATACATTATCCTAAATCACAACATTAAGTAATTAACCCTAAAACTAACCTCAACCCTTAACCATAATTCCATAACCCAAACATGCAAACAATGAACTCTAAACCATGATCCTATACGGCTATACCCTATACTATAGTTATATTTTATGAAAT